GGGAACCCCACGTGGGCATTTCGTTGTGCAGAGTTGCTTCCCTCTCACGCTCAAACCTATGATTGTGGGTGTTAAAATCCCGGTTCGCCCCGATTAAGTTTCTAGGTTTATCAGCACCATACTCGTGCTCGTGGGTTTCACCGAAGTGGTAAACGTCTGAGACCTGCATCACTTCGGGCTTTCCTCACACATTAAGCTGACACGCCGTGATATAACTGGAATACTGTTAAAAGCGGCGTTAAACCCAACTCACTCATTCACTCTCACGCTAACTCGAAATATTTTCGATGGCCAGAGATACTTCGTGCCACATGCTGTTCTATGCTTAGTTACGTATTTCATACCTGAACTAGGACACTTAAATGATGGTGAGTTCGAATCCCAGAGTCACCCTGATTACAATTCTCGGGTTGTCGGTACCATAATCCTGATCATGGATCCCGAAAATGGTAAACGTCTGTGACCTTAACCACTTTCCTCCCACATAAAACCGGCACGTCGGAATATAACGTATTTAAAGCGGCGATAACAAAACTGACTGACTCCATTCGTCACCACTCGCCCCCCTATCGATGAATGTTATGTGCGAAAATACGACAAACCAATCAGAATGCGCGTATGATTTCAAGTTCTTCGTCAAAGAATCCCTCAGAAATAATTTTTTATTTTTCATATGTCTTGCATCTAAAAATATACCCAAGACACAGTTAATGTGTTCAATCATACTGTATAATTCCGCATGTCCCAGTGTGCTTTAAATTGCATCTGAAATATATATAATATATGGGGAAATAAATGTGAACCATTACGCAACGAGTTGACAATTGTTTTAGGTATGCCCGTTTGCGCAAAGACGGAACCCGGTCGCAAAAAGGGCCATGAAAGGGGCACGAGTCGCTATTCGGCTTGTTCCGGAATAACACGAGTTGGTCACGAATGTGACTGACTCGTATCATTCCGTTGGATAAACATTTGAACGGAGGAGGCGTTGCACAGTGTGTGGGAAGCACTGCCATACAATCTCAACCATATAATAGCCATTCCGGAATGTTCGTTTGTTCAGTTTTCAAAATTTTAATCGAGAACTGTGTCAACATATTTTTCAAGCGTAGTCTGAAATGGAAGTCGCCAGGTTGAAACGTGTGCCGTAAAGCTCAAGAAAGCTGCTTTCTAATTGGCTGATGTCGACTTCTTGTTGGCCATTTCAGTGGTCGGTCAAAGTTCGCGAAAGTTCGTTCTGACGTGACCCGTAATGGGATGTTCTCAGATCTTTGTTTAGCCGCAGCGAGAACTTAGATCTGATTTCAATGAGATTGACCTAATACTAGCTCCTGCCATATGGCGACATACAAATGATTCCATTCTGGACCAGACAATCAAATTATTGTTTTTTGAACAAATGTGCACCTGTGCATTTCAGCCACATAAATTTATTAACGCAATGCGTTATTTAGAAAGAAAAATAATTTTCTCATAGTTTTAATTAAACAAAATGACAAGTGAAGATCCGGGGTAGAATAGGTCTTCAGCAACCCATGCTTGTCGTAAAAGGCGACTATGCTTGTCGTAAAAGGCGACTAACGGGATCGGGTGGTCAGGCTCGCTGACTTGATTGATGCATGTCATCGTATCTCAGTTTCGTGGATCGGTCCTCATGATGTCAATCACTGGATTGTCTGGTCCAGGGTCGATTATTTACAGACCGCCGTCATATAGCTGGAATATTGCTTAGTGCGGCTTTAAACAAGAAACAAACAAACTAATTAAACAAATATCAGGTTTTGAAGCTGTAGCAATAATATTGCAGCTGTAGCAATAATATTCACCTTTATTCTGACCTTTGGGAGGTGGTCCACCAGAAGGATTCCTTTGCAATGTCAGAAAAACCGAAGGCTAATAGAACAGACTTTGCCTTCTTCAGAGAAGACGTTTGATGTTGTTACTGCTCTGACTGTTCAGTCTCTGGCTGATAGTGATAATAAGTCTCATCCATGGTTACAAATCGCTCAAGGAAAGCAGCTTGGTCTGCTTCAAAGCAACATAAATCCCACGAGAGATGATGAACCTGAAACGTTTGTGATCAGAAATAAGATGACTTAGAATAAATGGGGAAAAAAACCAATTCCGTTTTCATTATAAAGAGTCCATTATACAATTCCAAATATATCATAGGCATGTTTTCATCAATCACTAGCAAGTTGTGATGATGCCAGGTGTTAGCAAAGAAGCGTATACTGCCCAACTTGTGCCGCCCGTCACAAACACATGCAGAGGCAAGTCAATTGTTACCTGATTAAACTGGAACGTAAAATATGGTACAAATCAGGCAATTGCATCGGACATAATTTTTGTTACTTGTGCGTCAAAGTTAGAAATATCCTCCACGTCTCCACTAAAACTTTGTAAAGGTTTTGCCAAGTTCTTGAATGTTGTAACCCTGATGAAACAGCCTTTGAGCAAGAGTTGTAAGAAGCTTTTTGAAATCCTTATAAGAAACAGCACCTTAACTGTTGTGAAATGTAGACACCAGGAATATAGTTCGACATATTTGGAAAGTTGACTATTTGAAAATTGAAGGTTCCTTTCTTGCCATACAGTCTTTCTTGCATTTCTTGTCTGCATACATGCAGATCTAAATACGAAACCGATAAAGCAATTTCACTGGTCTCCTAGTCTTTCTAGTTAAGGTGGGAAAATCAGGAGAAGGAAGTTGCCTATTTGTCCATTATTGAACGATATCAGATCATCGATGTATTTGAAACTTCTTCACCAAATTCCTTTGTATTGTTTTTTTCCAATCCGAGCAAGGAATTGCACAGTGCATATTTATGGATAACCGAGAATTGCGAAACTGTACTAGATTTTATGAATGCTTCTCAAACAATTAACTCTGCAAAAGGAATACAAGTACAAGAGATGTTTTGTTTGTATGTTTGTTGTGTTGACGGACCAATAATCAGCCAACATGGCCCTGATCAAGAAAGTATGTATTTATTTCTGTTCGTCATTCTTAATGATATACCACAGAAGCACACGTACGTATTATATATAGGTGAGGTGAAATTGGGCCTAACGTCGCGCTCGCCCCGTGAAGGTCCCGGAATAATAATCCTTCAGCAACCCATACTTGCCGTAAAAGGCGACTAACGGGATCGGGTGGTCAGGCTCGCTGACTTGGTTGATACTTGTCATCGTATCCCAATTGCGTGGATCGATGCTCATGATGTCAATCGCTGCATTGTCTGGTCCAGACTCGATTATTTACAGACCTCCGTCATATAGCTGGATATTGCTGAGTGCGGCGTTAAACACAAACAAACGTCGCGCTCAGGGTTATTGCAATTACATAGCAACATTGGCGCGTGTGTGTGTGCTGCTTGTACCAGTCCGGATTTCTATCGGATACATGTACCATTGTGCAGTTTAAAATGGATACCCCACTTAGACACAGTATACTGTTATATTCCGAGCGCCAGGCAGGGTAACAACAATTACCATATTTCAGTGTAGTTAGGTTTGACACTGCCACGGGATCGAAACACCGACCTTCCGCTCTCCGGGCAGAGGCTCGATTCAGTAGACCAAAGAGGCGGTCGTATAATATACTGCAAGACACAGTGAATGAAACACATATATGGATATCCCTGGTGTTTGTAATTATGTCCTGTTTAGTTCTCCATAATTTCTTTCATGTTACTGTGGCTGAAGCCTGCATTTATCAGCATTCGGTGCGTACTTCGCGAACCCCGTTCTCAGTACACGTTGTTCGTCAAATTGTTCCATCTTCAGAGTTAATGATAGCAAAAAAAGAAGTTCCGTCGTTGCCAAGTTTTGTTTAAGAAACAATTCCGATGAAAGGAAAGGAATCGTGCCTTAGTGAGTGAGTATGGTTTTACGCCACTTTTAGCAATATTCCAGCAATATCACGGCGGGGGACACAAGAAATGGGCTTCACACATTGTACCGATGTCGGGAATCGAACCCGGGTCTTCGGCGTGACGAGCGAACGTTTTAACCACTAGGCTACCCGACCGCCCGTGCCTTAATGAAATATAGTGAGTGAGTGAGTTGAGCTTAACTCCGCTCTTAACAGTATTCCAGTTATATTACAGCGTGTCAGCTTAATGTTGGAGGAAAGCCCAGGGGCGGTCGGGTAGCCTAGTGGTTAAAACGTTCGCTCGTCGAGCCGAAGACCCGGGTTCGATTCCCGACATGGGTACAATGTGTGAAGACTATTTCTGGCGTCCCCCGCCGTGATATTGCTTGAATATTGCTAAAAGCGGCGTTAAACCATACTCACTCACTCACTAATGTGGGAGGAAAGCCCGAAGTGATGCAGGTCTCAGACGTTTACCACTTCGGTGAAACCGACGAGCACGGGTATGGTGCTGACAAACCTAGAAACATAATCAGGGCGAACCGGGATTCGAACCCACAATCATAGGTTTCTGGCATGCCCAAGGGACGCAACTCTGCACAGCGAATCGCGGCGCCTTAGACCACTGGACCGACCGTGCCCCCTAATGAAATATAGAACCCATCTACTTACCCCTCTTACCATGAACATCCGGGTTGGATGGGTTGATACATGTCATCGTGGATGGGGTAGATAATAGGTTGAAGCGACCGCTCGTCACGCCGTAGGCCAGGGTTCGATTCCCAACACGATTACATTCCTCATGGCCCCCACCCTGACACTAGCGGACTATTGCTAGAAACGGCGTAAAATCCTATTCACTTACAAAATCGCAAATGATATCACAACGAATTGTCAGAAGCAGGAACTGAACTAATTAAAACATCCCGTATTTCTGCCTTTGTTGAAAATGACAAACAATGTTTTCGAAATGTTGTATCACAGGTAGGGTTTTATGTTTCAAACGCCACCGTTGTAATGTCTTTACAATAATAGTCATACATGCATAATGCATAGCTAACACTTGTTTAGCTGGATCATGCCAATCTCGCGTTACAGTGTATCGTTAACTTGCCTATTTTACTTCCTTGCCTTCGCTCAGTTGATCACATGTTATGTTGCGATCAACAATTTTAGTGACAAGGTGCTGTTCTGGCAAGCCTTCTTTTCATGGTCGTCTTCTTCAGGTGCTAAAATGGGTAGTCTTTGGCACGCGCTGTATGTCCTTGCCTATGTACATGCAGCGATGCCTTTGGATCGCGATGTGAAAATGCCAGGCGATTTTATCCTCGGAGGACTTTTTCGAGTCCAAAGTGTCCAATCGGGGTGTCATGCGATGAGCACAGAATCCATGCAGTTGTATGAAGCAGTTAGATGGTTCTTCAGGCGCCTGAATGACAGAGACTACATTCCCGGGAAAACTCTAGGTGAGTGTTTTGTACAATAACTAGGGCTTCGGTCCTACACAACATTGAAACATGTGTTGCATGTCTTGTTCCCATGTGCGAGTTGCTGTGTTGGATATAGATACTGACCGCCAAAAGACAAGCGAACCATAGAAACGTATAGAGAAGTATGTACGTTAAGAAGAGATGTTTGCAGTGTGTACCAATTAATGCCAATACTAACAATCAGTCAAGAGTAACCACAGAGTTACTTTAAACTTATCACGATATGCTGCACGTGATGTCCAAATTTTACTCGCTAATCCTGCATGAGACAAATGGTGCATCTCGAGTCATGGATCTATGACGTCACATGTGATGAGTTCATGATCATCTGTTCACACAACATGCCAGTATTTTCGTTTGTGCATAGAACCAATTAACATCTCTTGAATATGAATGAGTAAGTCTTCATAGATTAACCAACATGTAAGGTATTCGCCTGTCTATTGGCGGTGAGTTTATTTTGACTATGAATGGGTACACGGTTGGATGGGATGGTTATATGAATGTATGATTTCTAGCGAACCATAAGGCAGTTTAGGCTGTATATTCCCCAGGGAGCTGAGAATGAATTTCGAAATTACATTCCGTTATTTACGCTTGAATTTGGTTCACAATTAATAAAATTATTTTATAAATTACGAAAACCTTTCAACGAAAGCTTTTCTACAGAATGTATGGGGATTTGCACTTTCGACTTCTTCTGCAAATCCAGTAAATCAACAACCGTGAAATTCTTTGTCAAATGAGTTCAAATTGTTCATACGGCATGGTTTGTAAGCCAACGACTATGAAATACTGTAACGAGGGAAATTTTCGCATATTCACGTTCTCGACCTTTGAAAACAAGCTAATTAAACAACTAGCGAAAATGCGAGGTAGGAGAACGTGAGACTTGGCCAAATTTTGCGATCTCGCATTCTCGTGGTTTTGGTAAATAGTTCGTTTTCTCAAAACTCGAGAAATCTCGCAGTCTCGCGATCGACGTGCCCAGTGAGGCAACACAATCACGGCAATCATATTAGAAACGCTATATTGGGACATATCTAAAAATGACATGTGTGCGGTTGAAATAATTCTGTCCACTGTAACATTTTTCCTCAACACATGTTTTTTAACTTCGTGGGGATGTCGAGTTAGAATGTCGAGTGAGAGGCGACTAAATTGATCGGGTGGTCAGGCTCGGTGATTTGGTTCATTGCATGTCATTGTACCCCGACCTGTGGGGGTCGTTGCTCATATCACATGTCTGTTGATTATTTACATAAATTATACAACAATCGACATGACTGAATTATACCTTTCAAAAACCCGTTTAACTTCATTGGTGACGGGCTTTATGTCTCATAAAACGCTTTATTATAATTGAATTCCGTATTCCATATCACATCAGATTAGTCGGGTTGGTTTTTCCTGATTAAGCTTTATCCCCCTATTTATCACGTAGGTACACTATCGCATTCAGTAACATGTGTAAACACCGATAACATATAAACTGACGTCCAAAAGAAACTTTACCAACTGAAAATATAAATTTCAGACAAACTATAATTTTTTTTTCGATGAAGTCTATCTAAAACACATAACCTAAATACAACAATAGTGTATGCAGTCAATGTTAACCGTCTGTTACATGTTTGCGAGATAAAACGCGAAAAAGGGAAAACACGTGCACCAAGGACAACTGCAAATGCGGGTAAGGGTATAACACGATTGCAACGGCAAGTCAGACATCCACAGTGATAAAAAACACAAAAGAAATGCTACGACTCACAGTCGAACAACGTGAACGAGCCTTGGGTATGGTACAGATGGGAGCTACCCACGCCCATATTGCACGAACCTTCGGTTGCTCCCGTGTTGCCGTTACCAACTTAATGCAACGTTACAGACAGACAGGGCGGACCGCTGACAGGCCAAGAACAGGCAGACCCAGGGTGACCACGCCCCATGACGACCGGTACTTGCGTACCTTGCACCTCCGAAATCGCTTCCTGACAGTGACGTCATCGGCGACAAATGCCTTAGGTCACAGGGTTAGTCGACAGACAGTGGCCAGGAGACTCGGGGCTCATTGAATCAGGGCTTTTAGACCATATAGGGGACAGCTATCGACAGCGCAACATCGTCGTCTGCGATTGAGATGGGCCCGGACTATACGACGTTGGCAACGACGTGACTGGCAGAGGGTTGTCTTCACTGACGAAAGTCGATTCTGTATGTCTAGGGCTGATGGAAGACAACGTGTTTACCGCCGAAGGGGTGAACGAACGGCGGCGTGTTGCGTGCAGGAGGTCGTACCATATGGTGGTGGGAGTGTCATGGTGTGGGGAGGGATCTGTGGGCAGGAGAGGACACCGCTGGTCATCGTTGACGGAAACTTGACAGCTCAGCGTTACATGGATAACATTCTTCGTCCAGTTGTCCTACCATTTCTCCAACAGCAGCCACGTGGTGTCATTTATCAGCATGACAACGCTAGAGCCCATACAGCCAGAATTGTCACTAACTTCCTCGCAGCCAACAACGTCAACGTCCTGCCGTGGCCTGCACGCTCACCCGACATGTCCCCCATAGAACACCTCTGGGACTTGATGGATGGTCGTGTTCGACAACGACCACACTCTCCACCCAACCGGCAAGAACTGATCTTGGCCCTCCAAGAAGAATGGCGTCAAATCCTACGTGACCTCATCAGACGACTGACTTTTTCTGTGCGTCGAAGAGTTTTTGCGTGTATTGAGGCATTTGGTGGTCACACACGCTACTAATGACTTGTTATTGAACGTGAGCGATTGTTTATGTACTCTGACTATTGTCCATGATTCTGAATTTAAACCTCGAGTTTTGTACCACACCCAACTTTGGGGGGCTCTGGCGTCATTCTCGGTCGCGGTATGATTGTCATTTTCAGTGTTGATTATGTTGATATATTGATCTTCTCAATACACTTTACTTCATGCATGTATGTTTCGTTGTTTTTTAACAAGAGTGATTTCAAACCCTGGTAAAGGTTCTTTTGGACGTCAGTTTATAACGCATTGATATTGGTGTGCCAGGGAACAATGAGGCATTAATATTGATGAAATATATTATATGTATTGATGATATATATATATAGTTTTACACCGTTTTGTAGCAATATTCCAGCAATATCACGGGACACCAGAAGAAATGGGCTGCACACATTGTACCCAAGTGGGGAATCCAACCCGGGTCTTCGCCGTGACGAGCGAACGTTTTAACCACTATGCTACGCTACCGCCCTTATAAACACAAAGATCCAGCAATGCATATAATAAACATCATTAATATATCATGTGGTAAGAATTCTATCAGGACGATGAAGAGATAATGATCTAAATTACATCGTAATGCTTACCCTTTTCGCCGACATCTGGTGTTATCACTGCTTTTCAGTGATCCCCTCATAATTTTCACCGCTATTTTGCCTTTTTCACCCAATAATCTGTTTCGCCGAATGGACTTATTGACACTTATGTTAACACAAGTTGGTTACATTGTCACCACTTGATCATCTTTTCGCGAACACTTTATGTGATAGTGATTCATAAACAAATGCTTATGATTCAGTCTCGACTTTAAGGATAGATTTCGAACAGTTAAGGAAATGTTTTTTTGTCGCTTTTATTTGTGTAAAACCGATAGAGTGAGTGAGTGAATACATGTTGCTGAAAGCAGTTATAGCAATATTCCAGCTATTCGCGGCTAGAAAAAACAAAACCAGTTTCCTTTAGAAAAGGACATTATATACTGAACCGCAAAAGAAACGTCACCCCAAGTAACATTGCATGAAAAGTTGTTATTTAAATATATGTTAAGGAAATGTTTTTTGTCGCTTTTATTTGTGTAAAACCGATAGAGTGAGTGAGTGAATACATGTTGCTTAAAGCAATAGCAATATTCCAGGTATTCGCGGCTAGAAAAAACAAAACCAGTTTCCTTTAGAAAAGGACATTATATACTGAACCACAAAAGAAACGTAACCCCAAGTAACATTGCATGAAAAGTTGTTATTTAAATATTCCTGTTAATTTTTGTCAAAGTTTCTAAAATTTAACATTACCTTGTTCGGAAAAATGAAATATGATGATAAAAAACAAAGCAGATGACAATAAAACCGATCGCCAAATAGCATCACGGCAACGGCCATGGTAACCCGATGCACGTGAGTTCCGTGCAAATTGAAATGCACATGCGTTTCCCCATTTCTTGCCCTATAAAAATCCACCCAGATAGGATAACATTCATTCGTTATTGAATTGCTACCACATGCCAAGATTGACAAGAAATCAGCGACACCAAGCCCTTGGACGATTGCAAGCTGGACAAACCGCCCGGCAAGTAGCCAATGCATTTCAAGTACACGTAAGGACCATATACAGACTCCAGCAACGGTACCAGACCACCAACACTACAGATGACCGACCACGTAGTGGAAGACCAAGGGTCACCATCCGACGTCAGGATCGCCAGATTGTGCGACAACATCTTCATGATCGCTTTGTTACTTCTGCGGAAACTGCTCGACAGACCATGGGGACACACAGGCGACACATAGAGCGGACACCGTGCGTCGACGAATTACGAACAGACACCTCCACTGTCACAGACCACACCGAGGACCCATTCTGACATCACGTTTTTGGACAAATAAGGTTTCTCATATATCTATCCATGGTGACGTTTCTTTTGCGGTTTAGTATATATAAAATGATATCAATGATCACAAAAAATACACAGTAAATAATAAAAACTGACATTCAAATTTGTAATCTACATCTGATCATACAGTATAATTTCCTTCAAATATACTAAAACTAAATGGTTAGAAACGGTACTGTAAAGTTCAGAAAGAGTTTGAACAGTATAGAAACAATGACGAATTAGTGCAAAATCCACACATTCCAACAAAAGATGCTTCATAGTCAAAGGACTATGACAAGGAATACATTGAAGGGGATTCTCTCGCTTCAATAAAAAGGAATGAGTAAACTGATTGTGTCCAATGCGACACCTTCGGATCACAACTTCATCTTGAAGACTTCATCCAGTAAGGGTATGATACCCAATCAAGGGTTGTATGCTTGAAATTTATTGAATAATTGGTTATTCAACCTTTACTGCAACATATATCCAACATATTGGCAAATAGCACGTGTATAACCGATAGAACCTAGACGAGTATTGTTAATAATAACACTATAAAATATATAAACGTCAAAGAAAGAGAATAACCAGTCTTAAGTATACACCGAAACAGATTCCATTTGGCGTAAAGGGCAAAATAGCTGTGAAAATTATATGAATGGACCACTGAAAATCGTAAACAGGGAATTTATAAATCGTTGTCTTTCTTGTCATTGGCTCTTGGTACACGTCGGTAACAAATCCACAGCACGAGATAAATATCTATATCAGTGAGGACAAACTCAACAGTCACGTATTTGCTGTATCTCGATTTCAATAGGTCGGCCATTTGATATTCGGGCGGTGGTTGATAGGGTTCGTAGATAAGGGGTTTGAATAATGAGGAAAGTTTTTTTCCTGTTGAATATCGTGATCTACATTTGGTTATACCTTCCGTGTTTCTTTATGCATTAACAGGAAAATGTAAACTTGTTTTCCGTAAGAGGATACATATTGTGAATGGTCTGTTTCACCGGGTACCATTAGTGACAAAACAAATGTTATATTTGGGATAACACTTCCTGAGTAAAGTACAGATTCCCGTGATGTTTTGGGTTGAGTCCCGTCCGGGATTCGAACCCACACTTGCAAGAGTGAGGCAGCTAATCGCCAGCACACAAAATCAGCGATCCAAACCACTATCCCACCGAGGCTTCCACAAAATGAAAGTCCGACAACTGGTAGTCTTGAGTGTAAATTGGCACGGCCCCCATGGCCTAAAGCTAAAGTCCGGGATTCGAACTTTAATTTTAAGGAAGTCTCGGTGCCGGAGTGGGTTATTTCCCCTACATATAATCCTCTATTTATTTCACAACATGCTTATCAGAGACAACACTTCTTCAAATACACGTGGTTATTACTTACGTATTTCATTCACGTATCTTACACCATATACAGCACACAACTCACAGAAAATATATCTCATTATAAAAACATTTTACCTTATTCTTATCTACCTTTTTATCAGGGAAAACACCATGCCTTATACTAATACACTTTTCGTTATCAGAGAAAACATCTTACCTTATTCTAATACCCTACCCGGCTATTCGAAAAAAAACGTCATGCCTTATTCTTACATGCTACCTGTTTATCAGAGCAAACATCTTACCTTATTCTTATACACTACCCGGCTATCACAGGAAACATCTTACCTTATTCTTATACAATACCCGGCTATCACAGGAAACATCTCACCTTATTCCTATACACTACCCGCCTATCACAGGAAACATCTCACCTTATTCTAATACACTACCCGGCTATCACAGGAAACATCTACCCTGATTCTAATACACTATCCAGTTATCAGAGCAAACATTTTACCTTATTCTTATACACTACCCGGCTATCACAGGAAACATCTTACCTTATTTTTATACACTACCAGGATATCACAGGAAACATCTTACCTTATTTGTATACACTACCAGGCTATCACAGGAAACATCTTACCTTATTTTTATACACTACCAGGCTATCACAGGAAACATCTTACCTTATTTTTATACACTACCAGGATATCACAGGAAACATCTTACCTTATTTTTATACACTACCAGGCTATCACAGGAAACATTTTACCTTATTCTTATACACTATCCGGCTATCACAGGAAACATCTTACCTTATTTTTATACACTACCCGGCTATCACAGGAAACATCTCACCTTATTCTAATACACTACCTGGCTATCACAGGAAACATCTTACCTTATTCTTATACACTACCCGGCTATCACAGGAAACATCTGACCTTATTCTTATACACTACCCGGCTATCACAGGAAACATCTTACCTTATTCTAATACACTACCCGGCTATCACAGGAAACATCTTACCTTATTCTTATACACTACCAGGCTATCACAGGAAACATCTTACCTTATTCATATATACTACCCGGCTATCACAGGAAACATCTTACCTTATTCTAATACACTACCCGGCTATCACAGGAAACATCTCACCTTATTCTTATACACTACCCGGCTATCACAGGAAACATCTCACCTTATTCTTATACACTACCCGGCTATCACTGGAAACATCTCACCTTATTCTAATACACTACCTGGCTATCACAGGAAACATCTTACCCTATTTCTATACACTACCAGGCTATCACTGGAAACATCTCACCTTATATTATTCTAAAACACTACCCGGCTATTAGAGAAAACGCCATGCCTTAATATGCTTTTACACTACCCAGTTATCAGAGGAAACATCTTACCTTATTCAAATACACTACCCGGCTATCACAGAAAACATCTTACCCTATTTCTATACACTGCCCGGATATCACAGGAAACATCTTACCCTATTTCTATACACTACCTGGCTATCACAGGAAACATCTTACCTTATTCTTATTACCTGTTCATCAGGGAAAACAGCTTACCTTATTCTTATACACAACGCAGCTATTAGACAAAACATGTTACCTTATTATTATCATACATTACCCGGCTATAAGAGAAAACGTTATGCGGTATTCTTCTACACCACATGATAGTCACAGAAAACATAATACACCCTGCATAAAAGCCATACGTCACAAACAATGTGTCAGAGAAATATGAAACGTCAACACCAGAGAGAATAATCAGTTTCAATTATCTGGCGAAACAGATTCAATTGGGTGTAAAGGGCAAAATAGTGATGGCAAGTATGTGAATGGACCACTGAAAATCAGTGATGACACTAGCTCTTCGCGAAAACTTAGCTGATACCATTGTATCTCTAGCACGTGTGGGTAGCTCCAATTTAATGATTGTTTCGGTAGTGACAACCAAGTTACATGTGCCTGACATTTTTGGTACTACAGGTAAGACCTAGTAGTCGTATTTATAACGTTGTCGGTTCCAGGTTTCCATGCATTCAACACCAATGGACAGCCCACACAGGCGGTCAACCAGACGCTGCATATGCTAAGAGTTTACAACAACGCATCAACCGACTCTCTATATGGTATCACGTTATCAATTTATTATTTTGCTTCCCTCACGTATGCTGTCACAGTAATCACGTTGTCTATTCACTAACTGTTGATGATGGCACTACTATTATCAGAGTGGACAGGTGGCCTAGTCATCGAAGGCACCGCATTTCGCTGTGCGGCTCTTTGGCACGCCATAAACCTATGATTGTGGGTTCGAATCCCGGTTCGAATCCCAGTTCGCCCCGATTATGTTTCTAGGCTTGTCACCACCATACTGGAAAATACTTCCTCTCTCATTAAAATTAGTTTTATAAATTTACAAACGATTGATGATGATGGAATTTCTGTTGTTTATTCTGTTGTCACCTAACTTGATGATGATGATGTCTTATCATTCCTGAAATTATCACCAATATCCTCCCGAGTGCACCTTATGATGACGGTGCCACTACTATCACCATGTTACTTCACTGGAAATCAATACAAGCGGTGTCGCGTATACTAATGCTAATTGTGATGCTCTTTGTAGGTTTGCTAGGGCCAGAGACTAGTGGTGAGACTAAACTTGTTTCAAGTCTGTTGAGTTCTCTCCCTGAGGAAGATCGTTTGCTGCAGATCAGCTACTCCGCCACCGCCGCTAACCTCGCTGATACGAGTATTTACAAAAATCTGTACCGGGTCATAGAAACGGATGATGTACAAGTAGAGGTGAGATATGTGCATGTGAGATTTGTATCAAATATTTCAGGATTATGATTTACAAATTCGAGAGAGGTACAATTCGTACAAACGTTTAAACTATGTTATGGCTTCGTTGCACGTTAGAGGGGGAAATAAATTGTGCATACATTTATAGGCTCACAAGTTTTTTCAAGCTGCAGTTGCTTGAATCAGAATATCATTATTATGATTTGAAAACTGAATCTTACATATCCCCTGCACCCACTTAGGCTCAGTACCCCAAGGGATGCCGGGTTATATTGTTGTTGTTAACATAAAAAAAATAGGCCTCTGCACACAGGGTTAATATACTGAACAAAGACATTCGGGATCATGACTATTTGTGAGAATATTTTTATGAAATTGTGTGCTCAGTCCTTACTGCAAAATATAGTCTCAAAAAACATCACGATCCCTATCTTTGTTTCCAAAAACATCATGACCCCTTCCTTTGTTTTTCCAGTATAAATTTAAGGGATTTTTTCTTTTTTTAAGGTCATTGTTCAAGTGATGTTGTCTCTTCAATGGAACTACATAGCTATCGTATATGAAATGGATGTTTATGGGGAAACAGGTGCTAAAGCCTTAAAAGCGCTTGCAGAGGAACACAAAATATGTGTTCGGGTCTTCTTTGGAATCGAAGCAGATGCTGGAACCGAGGACATACGAAAACGTGTTACCGAGATAGGTGAAATGCTAGAGCCAGCACAAGGAAGTTCAGTGATCGGCATGGTGTTCATGGGACAGAGAGACACTGCTGGTGACTTGTTAGACTTCCTTAAAATCAAACTGCCAAAGTTTCAAATAATCTTCACAGAGTCCCTAGTGCTGAACATTGAACATTTAAAGAATGACAACTCTTTGTATTCAAGAGCCAAGGGGCTGCTGACAACTAGCCCACCTTATCAAGATGCTGAGATGTTTCGACAATACTGGAGTGAACTCCATTGCAACCACACGTTGAGGACACAACAGAAAGAAAATAATAATTGGCTGGAGAATTACCTTCAATGTAATACACTGTATAATTCTTCTGGGTTGTGTGACGTCAACAACTATGCCTTACCCTTGTCTGTACATTACATTCTTCTAGCTTCTGCAGCCTTTGCTAAAACGATGAAGATGATGCACGAGGAGGGATGTCATGATGCATGCCTTGGTGGTTTAAGGGGTAGAGTGCAATCCAAAATGTCCAACCTGAATGTTGATTCCTCAGCGGACTTTCCAGAAGAGCTCCGACCATACAACGAGAGTTTTCATTTTGAGAATAGGAAAATACAGCATCGTAACGACGGTAACATCTCCTCATACAGCGTGTACAACCTACAGACGTGTAACAATACTCATAGCTTCTGCTTCCGCCAGGTAATTATATAAATTGATCACTGAAAATACATTAATGACACAACAGTTTGACACATATAATTTCATAAAAGAGCTTTTTTGAGCTAAGGGTTCGACTATTATATATGGGGTGGGATTTGGGATGGGATTTGGGGGTGGGGTGGATTTGGGGTGGGGTGGTTATATGAAAAATATATATTGTATGAGAAAAAGCTTGAAAACACTAAACTGTCAACCATAAAGGCTACATTGCTACGTTCCTTCTAAAAAATATATTCAGGCTCATAGTCTTATATATAAGACAAGTATCTGTTTTTGCGTCTGGAGTCTCCATATAATAACCCACGCCCCCACAAAATATCTTATGGTCGGTCCATCATCATAATTATTTTACGGTTGGAATCCTACTGTGGGTTCTGCTATTGGCAGCGATTTCTAACTTTTAATCAATATTTAGAGTAAACACGGATCAAAGGTGTACGGTGCATCTTGGAACTCTTATTAACGTTAAGGTTATTATTAGCAATGCTGAATATTTGGTAACATTCGTCATGTATATCAAATCTTACGAAAATAGGTCACCAGTATCCAATTCGTATCATAGCCATGTAAAATAGGGTTCGTTTAGTCAGGATGTCTTAGCTAAATATGTGTCATTGTACTAATATAATTGTACTGGTATTAATCATCAACTAGACCCAAGTGACCAATATCTTTAAGGATTTGCATGGGTTAGCAATGTATACAGCCCTGGATTCACTGCACTGCACTGCACTTTACATAATTGTTTTTATACAGAACTCTATAAACATAATAGGAAAGGGATTTTGCTCCGCCAGTGTAAATGAATTTAAAAACACGTTTAATTTCACACGTTATGAGTCGGAATGAAACAAGATTTCTTGATGAGAGTGCAACTATTTCTTTTCTTTAGGTGGATGGGGGTAGGATTTTGGTCAGGCCAGGTCTTTTTTATCTTTTCTTCAGTGGCCATCCATTGATTTCGGGACACCACGGGTCTGCACCTGCCTTGAAGGAAAGTCAGTTGGCACCTGGAGAACAGCTCATGTTTGTGGCTGAACTTGTAGATGGAATCTGCTGGAGATGTCCTATGGCTGTTCTTCCGTCGAGGTGACTTCAGCAGCAGTTTGGCCTTACCTTTTCTGAGTCCTCTGCTGAGGTCCTGCCCGGATGGTTCATCGCACTTCTCAACGTTTAGCACCCCCTCACATCCCGCTTGCAACCGTCATTGAAGCAGAATTTAGGACGTCCAGGTGCCATTTTGTCAGGGTCAAGTTCGTTGTTCAGGAGGTCCTTCGGGACCCTCCCTTGCAACTGACGTGACGAGCCAGTGAAATCAATGCTGTTGGAGCATGGTGAAGAGACTTTGGTTTGTGGCGCAGAAGAGAACATCAAAGTTTGTGACTCGGTCACTCCTGTTGATTCCTAGGATGCTCCTGAGGCTGCTCGTCTGACTCGCCTTTCTTGTCTGGAGGAGAGGGTTCAAGAAATGCTCTGATGAAGTTGGGTCTGTAGACAGCAGCCTTGGTGTGGGTTGTCAGCTTGCTGTTCTCCCATGCCCTCTTTGCAATTGACAGCCTGGCTTGGGTGGGGGATGCTTTGCCGATGTGCCTGTTGATTTAAGCATCTGATGACAGGATCTCTGTGATGGTTGAGGTAGGCGAGGTAGGTTCACCACCATCTCCTTCTCATGGATGTTGATGTAGATCGTTGCTTGACGCCCCATTGTCGGTGCCCCGGCACTCCTGTTCATCTTTTTCAAACTGACGGTCAAGCTGAAGCCCTGGCATCCGCGTGAGAAGTGGTCCATTTGTTTCTCTGAGTGGGTTGCCAGAGCCATGTCGTCTGCATGGTGCCTATTCTGTCAGTGTGGATCATAATGAAGAACTTGGGTGGGTAGCCAATCCTTGAAATCTCTGCTCATCAGGTATATAGAAGGCGTTTGTGAAAGAATACGTCAACTTCTGGTCCCTGCACTTTTCCTGCAGTGAGTGAGAGGCAGATATGTTGGTCTTTGATCATTGTGCCCTGTAGCCACACTGTGATTCGGATAATCCAATTGTCATGTTTAGGACCATACATGTGAAGAACTTTCCTTTGATGCTCAACGATAGTTCAGCCGCTTCTATCACCCTTGTTCTTGTACAAGGTGACGATGTTGCAGTCTTTTATTTTCTGGAGAAATTCACAAAAGTTCATTCAGGTGGCTTATCAGGACACCCTTTCCGGCTTCAGGAGTTCCATCCAATCCAGGCACATACGTGCATATTCAATGCCTTTGCTCAGCTCCTACAGCAATCGCTTATGATCCAGTTCTACCATAACAGACAGGCTCTAAATGTTTTCCTATTTCCTGTCGTTTTCCTGTGGAGGTTTTGTAACCAGAGCACCGTCCACTCTCTGTCTTGTCTTGGCTTTGTGTGGTGCATCCTCTTCAGCTTGAGTCTGGTCCACAGTCATCAGCACTGTTTTCCTTGTTATTTCCCTTGTTGACGCTGGACTTTTCCCTCCAGGCAACAGGCCCGAGCAGCTTAATGTGGAGTGCTAGCTGTTGCCCATGTAGCGGGCCCCCCTCTCAGATACAAGGGAAAAGTGAAAATCTGTGCTACTTGGCGTCAGAGGACCTGCCATACGGATGTTGAAGGCAACACCAGACTTCCTTTTACTACCTTTTACTACCTTTGACTGAGGTTTACTCCTTTCTCATGAATGGGAAGAGCGTAAGGTCGGGGTTCAATCCCCAGATGCATCATACCAGAATACACAAAAAGATTGCACTTTGATTGTTGTTACCCTGTTAAGACGATAAAACTAGAACTGGTCAGATGCAGTCTGTATGCTGTCTGTGTGTGGTACTTACAATATAAACAATCTGCCAGAAAAGGGCGCATTGTTTCTTTTCTACAAAGCGAGACACATGTCATTATGTTCAGATAAACAAGGGCTTGATTAATTTCTTGGAAAAAAGCCCCCCTCCTCTGATAATCAAATGGTTGCTCCCTGGAAACGGGTTTTGTTACTTCTATTTACAAAATAATAGTGGTAATGTTGTAATTAGAGTAAAACTAGTTTCTGTGTGCACATATCCAATTATTCTCCAGATTGCTTCCAATGTGACGTTATCTGTTTTAGGTTGGAACCTTCGTGAATAGAACGTTAGACCTGAAGAAATCCTTAATTAAATATTTTATAAACAACACTGAAATATCTGGATTTGTGGAAGCACAGTGTAAAGTGGGAGCAACGTGCAGTTCATGCGTTGTGAATAATCGTGTGGGACACATTCTCCACCTGCCTGGGGACTTCTATCTTGTTGGACTGGTTCCTGTGCATAACAAGGGAAGAATGTCTTTAATGTGTGGCGAGTTAAGAACCAGCCTCAGTGTTGACATTGTGGAATCGATTGTGTATGCAGTCAAGGCAATGAACGAGAAGAAGGGAATATTTAGATCCATTCTAGGAAGCAAAACACTGGGACTTGTAATGATGGACACGTGTGGGACTCCTTATCTGGCTATTGAGAGGCTAATTAAACTTAATAGTGGCATGGTGCAACTCGATCCATCCACTAACAGTTCTCAAATAGCAAGCAAGATCATAGGATATGTTGGTCCCTACAGGAGCTCCGTAAGCGTTCCCGTCTCTACAGTCATGAAAGAAATTGACGATCTGTATATTTCGTATTCCTCAACAAGTACAACTCTAAGCAACAGGCAACGTTTCCCCAATTTTATGAGAACCTGCTCCCCTGACCACAAGCAGGCTTCTGTCATCATGGAACTTGCCAGTAAACTGGGCTCAAAATATGTCCAGATCATATACACAGAGGAGGAATATGGGATTGCTGGAAAGAATGCTCTTTTGGTAGCTGGTAAAAAACATAAGGTATGTGTTGCTCAGTCACTAGGTGTGAAAGATTCAGTAGACCAAAAAGATCTACTGGGGTATGTTTCTTCATTGAGAAAATATCCCCAAGCAAAGGTCATCATCATATTTGTGCTTTCCCATGTAACGCCTGTGTTGATGAGTGTTCTTGCTAAAGAAATCAAACCTGGAGAATTTGCTTTCATTGGTGGCGAAAACTGGTCAAAGAGAGAGGCAGTCTTACAGAATAGCCAGAAGCTGATTGGTAGTTTGACAGTGGCACAGCTCCTTCCAAAGAATGACCAATTTGAGCAATATTACACGAACATTAACGTGGAGCAGTCTAACAATCCTTGGCTGCGGGAGTACCTAGAAGCTAAAGCCAAATGTCATTATCCACTGAGTTTTTACAAACAGCACACGCGGAAATGTACACCTGAGATAATTGCAGGTAATCTTCAAATTGATCTTTGGGTCCCATTTGCAATCAATGCAGCTTTTTCTCTGGTGCTGGGATTCAACAAGTCAGTGGTATCATCATGTGGAGACTTTGTACTTTGTGAATATTACAAAACTGGTGATCTCAAGGCGAATGTCAAGAACATAACGCTAGGCATCTACAATGCAAGCGAAAATGTGCGTGTCTTTGATGACAACGGCGAAGGACGTGTCGGATACACAATATTCCAGGTGGTAAAGGACGGAGATCAACTTTCATACAAAAAGGTAATATGTCATGGTTTGTCCTTTTGTACCTTTTGTACACGCCATTTAATAACATGCATGCAATACTGTAACGGTTAACGCATATTGATAGTCACTTGAAGCAAAATGTAATATGACACAACATAACTGATATGTTTTCAAATTGGCATTAAAACTAACTCTCTCAAATTTTACTGTATATTTTAGCCTTCAATGTTTTTGTTCATCCTATTTGAAGAATAACATGTAAGTTGTAACACATTACTTTGTATGTTTCTGTACCCTAGTATATATATATACCAGGTTGGACTTTCTTCACCGGGGGGAATTGACCTTTACATACCTGCATCTGAATTAGCAAAAGGTGGGGCATTTGGGTCCCAGTGCGAGAAAGAAATTGAGTGTAACATTTGCAATAAACAACAAGACGTCATAGAATCCACGTAAGTATGTCATTTTATGAATTCGGTGCTTGGACATTCTTGGTGTTCTTGAGGATTGGTAATTCTGTTTTAATGTCACACTGGATGTGAATTCAACAAGCATAATTGATGCCTTTCAAATGGAATGGGTTATTATTTTCATACGAAGGTAGTAAGATGACTAGCATTAATTTTAGTGGTGTTGTAGGATTGCACGTGTTTCCCAAATAAGAAATGTCATTGGAGTGGAACAACATGTATGTTCCTCATTGTGTAGTACTTGTATTTAGTTTGAGGTTGTAGAAGGTCATTGCATCACACTGGTGGAAATACATGATGGGACGTAATGGTTTCTGACGCTTCCAGAAAAGTGTTTGAGACATTTTTATATATTTTTCCAAAACTGTTTTTCATTCTAAACATATCAGACTGCTTGCCAACCCAGAAGGTAATCTAATACATTATTGGTCTTCTTTTAGCTAATAAGCCTTTGATAGTGTCCTACATAGATGTCATTATTTCGTGTCAATTGTTTATGGTACTCGTATTAAAGGTAAAAGGGCAATAAGGTTCGCCCCGGCGGAATTCATTTTGCCATACATGTTAGATAACTGAAGCCTATTAAATGTAAAACTGTTGTTTTAACAATTATGTTCTGTCATTATCAGGTCAGATTGGCAGATCAGCATCCCACTAATATCACTAATATCAACTGTCAGTGGTCTGGGTGCATGCGTCTTTATTTTGACATGTTGCCTCATCAAGACCTGTCGACGGAAAAGAGTTCCTAAAGAAGGTTAATATTATTTAATGTTAGTGTCATTTGCGCATTCAAACATGACTCCTTATATGTCAAACAACTTCCTGCAAAGGATGGAATATATCAGATTGGTTATCTTCAAACTCCAATTTTGATGTAATTCATATACTGCTTATATTTTATCACATTTTATATCTTACAAAGGAAGAAGCGTGCCATGCAGGCTGGATTTAGATCAACATGTAAGACATTGCAACGTCTGTGACTGCATTTGTAACTGCCGTTATAACAATCTTCTGTTTCTTATAGATCCTTATCTTTCCATCAACCCGGATCTCAGGGAGATCCCTGGGAGTTCATACCAGGACCTGAGTCCCACACAAGCCAGCAGTGATTATATCACAGCCAAACACGTGGATGAAACTGAAATGAAACCTTTTGACGATGGGGCCATGGACACCATGGAGAGACTGGAGCACATGGAGAGGCTGCAGCACATGTAGCTTGTGTCATGTCTCGATATACATGTACACGCAGCTGAAACATATATATGTTGTCTCTGTTGAATTACTTCATTTTGCTGAACAGAGAGTAAAATAGTAGTAATTTGCCAACTCTCTCTGGATCAACTCGAAAGACATTTTTTTTCTTTTTAGGTTAAAATTTGAATATAGTATCCTTAATGACAAGGCATATAGCATTTAATGGATCATTTCCTTTAAATGGAAAGCCCGGTAAAACGTTTTCTTTGGTGAAATTGATATGAATTTCCGCCTTATTATTTATCCATCTTTCAAGTTCGGCCCAGAGAGAGCTAGCGTTTTCACAATTCCATAGTACATGAGAAATGTCAGCAATAACTTTATCACAACTTGTACACAAGGGAGAATCTTTATATCCCACTTTAAATAGGTATTTACCAACTGGAAGTATTTGATTAATGATTCTGTACTGAGGCCAACGCAATTGCACACTATCAGTTCATCGGAAGGGTATTTCATTTATATTTTTCAATTCATAATCTGTATAATATTTTATTTCATTTTCCCATTGCTGATTGGCTGATGTCCTCTGAAATGTTGAACTCAATAGCACATCATAGTAGTATTGTGAACTCTTTGGACTCTTCATAAGTACATGAATGTTAAATGGTAAAATTGGGGCTACCAATGGTGTAACATCATAAGTTTCCAAAGATTTTAAATAAACATTTATAGCATTTCTTACTCCGTAAAAGGTTAAACGGTTACACGAAACATTGTATCTATTCTCAAATTCTAAGTATGAAAGAAGTCGGCCCTGATGATCTACCAAATCATTGATATATTTTACTCCCACATCATCCCACTTGTTAATAAATATATATTTCCCATCAATCTGCACATTGTCATTGTACCATATATATTGGGAATAAGCATCCTTTCGTGTTTTCTTATGTTTTTCTATATATCGGCCCCAAGACGACACTACATCTCGCCAAAAAGGATTTCTGATAGTTTTGACGATGTGGTCTCTTATGTATTTTGCATCCATTTGAAAAATATCAGATGGGATAATATTAGCCTCAAATATAAACGATTTAAGGGTTGTATTTGATAGATGTATGTGACGAAGCCAAGAAATATTTTGAGATACAATATCTTTTACTAGGGGTACTTTAAGACCACCGTTAGGAATATTGTTCATTACCCTTTCCCTTTTAATTTTATCCGGTTTTTCATTCCAAATAAATCTGAAGCACTTTGCTTGAAATTTATTTATAATATCTTCGGATGGAGCAGGAACAGTAGAAAACAAATGATTAAGTTTTGGTAACAATAATGATTTCAATATTGTATTTCGTCCAAAGGGTGTATGTATTCTCTTTTTCCATAATTGCATTGAATTTTTTATTTCTTTGAATTTATGGTTATAATTAATGTCTACCATATTTTCAAGATCAGTATCAAATTTAATGCCCAATAACTTAAAGTTTTCGGTCCAATCCATTTTCATTTTGGGAAGTAGTTTTATCCGACTACGGTTTTTTTAACCAATCCATGTCAACTTAGTTTTGTCTATATTTACCCGTAAGCCCGAAAAGCGTTCAAAGAGAGTCAATGTATTAAAAACAGCTTGTAAACATCTTTCTGTACCATCTAATATTAAAGTTGTATCGTCTGCAAACTGAGCTAATAAGTGATCAATAGAACCAATCTTTAATCCTTTCATAGATGTGTTATTCTTAATCAATATGGTTAATATCTCAGTACATATGATAAAAATATACGGGGAAATTGGGTCGTCTTGGCGGCAGCCTCGACTTAACTTGAACTTGCAAAACCATTAACCAATACACATGACTCTGAGTTTTCATACAATAATCTTATCCATTAAGTATTGAAGAACCAAACTTAAAAAATGCTAACACGTCTTGAATAAATCCCCAATCCAAAGAATCAAAAGCTTTTTCGAAGTCGATAAGCATTAACATGCCAGGAATTTGACACCTGCATGTTAACCTCTCCCATATATCTCCCTTTAATAAAGCCTTTCTGTTCTTCACTGATAAAAGTGAAAAAGTAAAAACTTTAAAAATTCTGCAGTGAAACCATCAGGTCCCGGACTTTTATCGTTTTTCATACGCTTTAAGGCACTAAGTACTTCATCGTCAGTTAATTCACCTTCCATTGCTTCCGCTAATCTTTCATTAACTTTATTTTGATCATTTGGAAATAATGTTTCTAAATCTATCTGAGATCTATCTTTTTTTGAATATAGGGTTTTATAAAATAATTTCGTGTCATTTCAAATATTTGAAGCGTTTGTGATAATTTCTCCAGATGTTCTTTTAAGTTTAGTGATCGATTTTTTCAGAAAATTTCTTGATTCCAAGTTTAGAAAGAATTTGGTTGGTTTTTCTCCCTTTTCTATCCATTTGGCTTTAGCTCTTACAAAACAACCCCTCGCTTTAATTTCACTAATTTCCTCTAATTCAGAATTTATTTCATTTATTTCTTTGAGTATTTTTTTTTATCATCAACATTTTCTAGTTTATCTAGTTCAGTTATCTTACAGGAGAGCTTTTCGTTTAATTGTTTCTCTTTATTTTCTCTATTTCTTTTTGCACTACTAGAATATAATATGGTTTTGCCCCTTACCAAACATAAAATTGTTTCCCATAAAAGCTGATCCGAAATATTGTAACCTTCATCTTTTTTGTATTCCGCGCAAGTTTCATTTATAGTGTCCTTAACTAGCTTCACATAATATGGATCATTTAGTAAAGAATTGTTAAATTTCCAGAAGCCTTTACCGCGTTTGATTTCGTTATAACACAGACTCATCTCTATAGCCGAATAATCTGTTTTAAAACCCGGATCAATGCTGGTATAGTGCACTGAGGAGAGAAGATTGTGTGAAATAAGAAAATAATCAAGCCGTGATTGTTTCAGGGGAGTAGGCTGACGCCAGGTATATCTTCTTTCATTTAGGTTATTTAATCTCCATGGATCTTTCAGATCATACAGCTCTATAAGATCGTGTATTTTGGATCTAGCTTTTGAGTTATTTACATTCTTGTAATTAAATTGATCAATTAGAGGATCTAAAGTACAATTCCAATCTCCACAAATGATTAAAAATTCAGCCTCGGATTCGTTTAAAATATCTGCAATCTGTTCATAAAATTCGGGGTTATCTTCATTTGGGCCATACAGAGTTATGAGTAGGTATGTCTTATTTTCAATTTCAATATCTAGGGCCTTGTAATTCCCAAAGTCCTCATCTGAATATTCTTTACAAACTTTAAATTCAAAGTTATTATTAAAAAGAATTGCAGTTCCACGAGCGTTTGATTTATATGAGCTAAAATAACATTCTGAATAGCCCCATTGTTGTTTGATGAATTGTTCTTGTTGTTTCGTAAAATCTTGTAAACAATAAATGGATGCTTTTTTCTTTTTAAGAAAGGAAAATACTTGTTTTCGTTTTAGGTTGTCGCCAATACCCCTACAATTCATAGAAATAATTCTTACTCTTTCAGACCCCATTACGATGACAAATGGGATAGATATACATGATCAATTTTGAAATGCTGACTTTTGTATGCCTTCCAGAATTTGTTATTTTCATGTTGTACATATTACGACAGTGGAATTTTATAACAACTGAAGAAACAAAGAAAAACAAAGAATAAGATGGACTCATAAGAAGCCTTAATTTCAAATACGAGTACACCAACCCGTACCCGCAAAGTATACAAGAGTGAATTTCTCTTTGTATAAATACATAATTTAAATTAGACTACTTTTACATGTCTTTAAGATATCCCTTATCACCGCATTTAGAAAATAAATGTCTATATATAGATTTTCGTCCAACTGCAAGGACTATTTTTTCTGTCCATGCATAATATATGGAACGTCATACACTAAACTGAGGTAAATGTAATGATAAAGAAAACCAAAACATATCTTTCATAAGGGGAAAGGGAAAAGGAAGCAATCAATGTTCCATTGTCAATGAACAACAAGAATGACAGCCGGGGATGCCAGTATACAAATATAACGAGGGCAATTGTTTGTTTACCTTGTACAGGTCTTATCGCCCCTACATAACTTAAAGTGTTGAAGTGTGTTACACCAAATTGAGACAAAAGATTAGAAGAAAGCATATACACTTAAAGGTTTCTTGATATGGTATGGTTAAACTCCATGTGAAACAAAGGAAATATAATAAGTGAACAGAAGCAAAAAGAAGTAGTTTGGCAGTTCTGTAATACAATTAAGAATAGAAAATAGGACAACGATTAACACGTGCACGTATGCACAAACGTAATAAGGGTCTGTTTTTTTTTCGCCTTGCACGGATTTTACCTGGTATTACGTAATGCAATCAATGGAATGTAATGTTCACATACACGGGACAAATACAACGTACACAAGATATTTGAGTTCTTGTTCTGGTTGCTTCAGCCGCAGCTGTATCATGCTCATGTATAGTTTGATGTATATTGATTCTCATCGGTTTTGCTGTGGGGTGTATGTTTTGCTCAGTTCCAAGATAATACAGTTTGGAAGCAATCATGTTACGATGACAGACGTGCATACATGTAGTGGCCGTATTATGTTCGCAATACGTCTTACACAATTTTGTTGGGAAGTGTTTGTATACATTAACATGATTCCATGAGAGACGTTACTTGAAAAGAAACTATACCAAGAAAGATGTTGTGTTCACGAAAAGAAGAGACCAGACAATTCAAAGATGTATTATGTATTTTAAAAGGAATGCAATGTGTCGAGTCACAATCAGCCAAAATATAGAATCGCGAGGCACGATTAGTAGACAGGAGCCAGCTGTTCAGTATTCGATAACACACCATTGGAAGGGTGGATACGAGAAAGTCACTTCTGAAGCTAAAGGTCACACATGTCAGCCAATATTGAGTATGATCTCCCTGCGCACCAATACACGCCCTTACTCTGTCCTGAGCAGAGAAGGTCCGACGCCTGATTACATGAACTGGAATCTGAGGCCTTCCTCCCTGAGCGCCTACATTAACCTATGTCTGTTGACAGGAGAATTGTCTTGCTGTGGCCCAACGCCAGATATGGTCCCACATGTGCTCGATGGGTATCATATCAGGTGATCGGATTGACCAAGGCAATACATTGGCATTCTTACTCGTAGCCCGAAGAAAGTATCGCGCAATGTGGGTTCTATGTGATCTTGCGTTGACTTGCTAGAACAAAGATCTGGTGGTTCTGCTGGAGTAACGGCAGCTCAAATGGATGCAAAACATATAGCTAGTCGATGTTATGTTGTGGTTACGATTGTCGAATCCAGACAGGTTTGTCTGCGTTTGACAAAATCTGCTATGGTCAATAATTCGATGCCATTGGTGCAACAACGTCCCGTCATTATCCTCTCCGAGGGTGGACGCTGTCATCAGCTGGATCAGCTAATATTGATGTCTGTGAACAGTCTTTGCTACCAGTGCCTGTATGCTCTTCCCGTACTGCTCATGTCCATCTTAGTCTCTGACGTCTGTGTTGACGTGTCAGTGTCATGTCCCTGTAAGGTCTAAAGTCCCTGACACGATACCGACTAAATCTTCTGGACACTTGAGATCCGAGGGTTCATGACGATGTCACTGCCCGTATCTGTTTCAGAGATGGAGAGGGGCGGTCGGGTAGCCTAGTGGTTAAAGCGTTCGCTCGTCGCGCCGAGGACCCGGGTTTGATTCCCGACATGGGTACAATGTGTGAAGCCCATTTCTGGTGTCCCCCGCCGTTATATTGCTGGAATATTGCTAAAAAGCGGCGTAAAACCAAATTCACTCACTCACTCACTCACTCAGAGATGGAGAAGACGTTAACTGGATCATTCTGGGAGGTTGCGACCGGTGGTCTGCTGCTACTAAACCTGTCTAGTGTACGCCATGTCTTCACGTAGCGGGTCATCAAAAATGGTGATTGTAACTCGGGTACAGTGTGACCTGGCAACGTTGTCATGTGTAACCTCCACGTGCAACTTACCAATGGCCTTTTCTCTACCTTCTTGGGTAATCATGGCATTATCGTAGCTATTTTCTGGAACGTCTGATGTCCATGAGCTATGATACGCTGCTTGAATACCTTTATGTCAGTTTGGTGTCAAACTGCATTCACGTGCACCAACATATTGCGATTTGATTTAGATTGCTGAGTATGCTGATCAGAGGCGTGACTTTCGTCACCATTAAACCTGGTTACGTTTGTGAGATTAATTTTAAACATCTGCCAACACTATTCCGGGTTTGGTCTGTTTGGTATAGTTTCTTGCACCTATCAGCTGATATAGCTGCTATAGCCTTGTACATATAAGTCTGCTTTTTAGAAAATAGGTCGCGATCGCGTACCTTGGTCAACACAACTAGAAACTCGACAATTTATATATTTGTTATCACCCCAAAGAAGCAATTTTAATTGTTCCAAGAATGGTAAAGCTACAGTACCCAAATGAAACAAATGTTATATTTGGGATAACACTTTCTTAGTAAAGTTTGTCGCTGAGTGGGTTAGATCGCTGACATTGTGTGCTGGCGATTAGGTGCCTCACTCTGGCAGTGTGGGTTAGAATCCCGGACGGGACTCAACCCAAAAAGGTACGAATCTGTATTTTACTAATAAAAGTGTTGTCACAAATAAAACATTTGTTACATTTGACCACTTTCTAAATGGTATTGTGTGCCCACAGTACCAAAATAAACAAACACATTATTATGTTTGCATTACAAAATGCTGTCAACTCAATTTTACTGTGAGCTCTACTTAAACAATACCGGTTCATCCGTTTCGTCATCATCATTATTTTATCATTCATGAGGGGATTACCCCCCTAACTACCCCCAATAGACCCACCCCCCACCCCGACCCCGACCCACCCCCGTTTGACCAGTGTCCATTACCAAATACTACCTTAAGTGTTGGCTTCCATTGCCTACTGCTATCACCTTCCAGCGCCAATCATCTGTTGGCTTCCTTTGTTAGCTTCTACCCTTTGTTATGTTCCTTTTGTTATCTTATTAATTTTGTTGTCTTTACATGTACATATATATCCTCTCTGCCTCAAAGGTCAGGTGCTGCAAGGAGTACGTATATACTCCGAAACGCCCTGTTCCCCCATAATAAAGAAGTTGACATCCATATATTCTCTTCCTTGTGAGGGGAGTTTCTTTGAATTTGTCGCTCACTTTCTGTGTTTAATCGGCGTCTTTTCCTTCTGTTGCTAATGTGACATAGATACATGTGTAAATATACAGCTTAATTTGTGCTAACAATTATCAGGTTAAGGTGCATGATCAGAAATCATCCCTTATAACGGTAACGCTATAAGGGTAACGCTATTTTTCAGGGCATTATCATTTGCAGAAGCCCGAGGTTTTCCATTAACTGCCCGACGAAGGATGGCAGTTGAAAAGGCCGAGGGCTTCTGCAAATGATAATGCCCTGAAAAATAGCGTTACCGTTATTATAGCTAAAATGGATGGAATTTGTCATCAAATATAAGGAAACAACAATATCGGTTTTGAAACATTTACTGCAATCAACACGAGTGTCACTGACCCACTTTTACGAACATGGAAACGTCATAGAACAAACCAGATGACGTCACTTTTAAACGTGACGTCACTACCCTACCCTATGACGTCACCTAACAACGGGTGTGATAATGGCCCGTCGTCAAGTAATATGAGGACATTATCAAGTTACAGTGGCCCGCCGATTTCTGATAACATGCGGGCGGTTTAATGATAATTCTATCCATTTTAGCTATAATAATCACATAATATATGTTATTTTGTTTACCTTGAACACCTCTGACGTAGAAGCTTCGTGTAGCATGTAACAATATCTTGTGTCGGCACCGTGTGACTACTTCAGTTCCTGTTGACACCTTGAACACATGTTGTCTAATGGTGTTTATCATCCAAAACTGGCTCCCACAGGAGATATCGCTTAGGTGAGATCAAGCGATATCTATACTGTAGATATCGCTGCAATGAAATTGCATCACAATTCTTTGCAGACCATTGTGACGTCATTGGTTACCATGACGTCACAATCAAATGACATCACTAATGGCTCTGCTACTGAAGCTGTTAGCAGTACTTTTTACACTTAATACACTGCTTATTACTTCCAACAAACTGAAAAAGTTGGAAGAATGATGTTGGATGCTAAATAAAATCTCACCCTCGTGTCTTTTGATATCAAATATATCAACACTCGTTGATAAAAGTGGAAAACAATCCTCGGCAAGCCCCGGAGTTTTCCCGCTTTTATCAACTCGTGTTGATATATTTGGTATCAAAAGGAACTCGGGTTAGATTCTCTATTTAACCACATTGCAAGAAATGTACGACAACCAGATCTGGCAAACATATATTTCGACATTTAGATAAACCCTATCCTTTGCACGCAAATTTTTCTCCTACGTCGAAGTCGTGATATATCGAATAACCGGACATTAAACATTACTAATGGTAACAAACAAGCAGAGGTAAATATGTTCGTGGAAAATGACAATTTCAGATTTGTTTATTCATGTAAAGTGTCACCGTTTATCTGGCGCATTGAAAAGATATGCGCATGAGGAAAAGGTGCATGCTAATCTCCTGATAGCCTTGAACATTATATTGTAAATACACACCTAAATTTACACTTAATGAATAAACGCTTTCATTCCAATACACTGTGTTTAAACTAGTTCCTTATACACACAGTGGTAAATTATATCCGTTGTATTGGCATTTTTTGGGAAAATATCCTTCCTTTTAACAGGCAAGGACCTGCAAACGATCATCTGTACCACTCTGCAGTACTCATATAAGTAAACAGATCTGAGTCAATATTGCTTTATAAACGCCGCTGTACGCACTGTTGCAAAGTTGCGTAGTAAGGCGTGTCCGAGACCTTTCGTAATGTTATGGTGTGACCTACCATATGTTGGAATATGAGTGAGTGAGTGAGTTGGGTTTAACGCCACTTTTAACAGTATTCCAGTTATATAACGGCGTGTCAGCTTAATGTGGGAGGAAAGCCCCAGGTGATGCAGGCCTCAGACGTTTACGACGAGCACGGGTATGGTTCTGACAAACCTAGAAACATAATCGGGACGAACCCACAATCAAAGGTTTTTGGTGTGCCCAAGGGACGCAACTCTGCGCAGCGAATCGCGGCGCTTCAGACGACCAGTGCCCCCTGGAATATGACAAATCAGAGAAACCGTCATACATCTGAATCCTGATTCCGATGTAAAACGAAAATGTGATAAAAACATATATGCGTAAATATGTAGATGGTATTTCACTTAATACTTCTTTTATGGAATAACTGTTAAGCTATCAATGTTTGTTTGTTTGTTTGTTGTTTAACGCCGCACAATATTCCAGCTATATGACGGCGGTCTGTAAGTAATCGAATCTGGACCAGACAATCCAGTGATTGACCATCGATATTACGTAATTGGTATACGATGACATGCATCAACCAAGTTAGCGGGCCTGACCACCCGATCTCGTTAATCGCCTCTTACGACAAGCATTGTCGCGTTTTACGGCAAACATGGGTTGCTGACGACCTATTCTAACTCGTTAAGCTATCATCTGTTTTCGACTCGCTGTTAGCCATGCGCCATAATCAGTACATACGATGTTTCAGCGGCGTTTGTTGTGACCTGTTGTTCGTGTTTTGAAAGTAGGAGTGGAAAACACTCGGTTTTGTGGTCAGAAATGACACTGTAGACCCATACTGTCGACTCGTTTTCTTCAACAAGCCGTCCTTCTGCCGCCATTGTAACCCCCGTAAGAACCTAAGACAGGTCCAATCCTGTTTTATTTTTGTCGTAAACTTAATATTACTTAGCGCTAAGACAGCTTCGTGGATAGGCCGCCTGGTAATAAATGCGACAAATTGGACACATGGGTGATGGCATGACATCGTAACCCAACGACGTGGATCGATGCTCACACTATTAATCACCGGATTGTCTAGTCAAGACTTGATTATTGACAGGCCGCCGTCATATAGCTAGAATATTGCCGTGTGCGGCGTTAAACAACAAACACAGACAACACCGTCAAAGGTACCTCAGAGGATTGGTTTCCTCACATAATGACAAAAATAAAATGTACCTTTCGCTCACTAATTGGGGGTAGAATATGCACCAGTGCATACAACGTGAGTCAGAACACTTTTGTTCAAACACAGTGAGTAAGTGAGTTGGGTTTAACTCCGCTTTTAACGGTATTCGAGCTTTATGTGGGAGGAAAGCCCGAAGTGATGCAGGTCTCAGACGTTTATCACTTCGGTGAAACCCACGAGCACGGGCATGGTGCTGAAAAACCTAGAAACATAATCGATGCGAACCGTGATTCGAATCCACACTCATAGGTTTCTGGCGTACCAAAGGGACACAACTCTGCACAGCGAATCGCGGCGCCTTAGACGACTGGGCCACCCGTACCCCCTTGTTCAAACACAGCTTTACATGTGAAAACGATGTCATATATACATTTTTATGTGGTGACTTTGTACTCTCAATAGAAGTTGCTACTGTCACTGTTCCGCTGTTCTACATCCTTGTTGATAAGGAAGCATTCGAGCACATTATTGTTTGAAGTAACCATAGTGATCTGACTTACCAGGAAGAACATTTACCTGTAACCGCTATCTCAGTTTATAGGTATTATGTTGTGGTTACAAATGATAGGGAAATAGTCTTCAGCACTGGTGTTCAGAGTTCTGCAAAAACGACTACAACTAGGTATGTCATATGCAACTCTTTTTCTTCCTTCGTTAACCGATTTGTATCTGTTATCGTGAATACACTGACTTGAAGCTGCTATTCAAAACAACGTTAATGTTATACACCCTGTTTTAACATCGTGTGACTTATCGAACATGTATACGTTAATTATTCTTTTTCGATTTTTGTTTCCATCAGTTAAAACAAAACATTTCTACAACTAAGATGTTTTCCGTGAATGCGTGTTTCAATTTATCGTAACATCGGCTGTATCACATTGCTATTTGACAGGTTTACTGTGTAGGTCATGATCATAGGAGACATAGTTCTGCAGAAAGAAGCGACAAAACCGTTTCCATATTATATAAGAAAATTCTGCTGAAAGCAGAATCGATGGTACTATTTCGACGATGTCATGAGTATGTGTTTATGAATCACAATTATATAATGATGATACCAGGTGTTCGTGAAACGGTGAGCGTATCCTGCCTCGCCGATGTACGTCACAAACACATGCCAAGGCATGTCAATTGTTCACCTTATCGAAACAAGGAAATAATGCGCGTTATTTGGAACTATCCTCCTCACGTATACCATTAAAGAGTCAGTATACGCTTTGTCAAAATATTTGAAAAAGATATTAAGTGTAACGCTGATCATTCCTCTTGTTCATCACTTAAGAGACCGCATCCGTGGTCCAGCGGTAGAGCGTCCGACCGGAGAACGGAATGTCCGGGGTTCGATCCTCGGTCGCGTCATTCATAAAGACGTTTAAAGATGGTACTTGTTGTTACCCTGCGTGGCGCTCGGCATTAAGGGGCTAAAACAAGGACTGGTCGGCTCGGAGTCAGTATACTGTGTCTGAGTAGGGGATTCATGTTCAACTGCGGCATGGTATCTCAGTGAGCTAGCACAATAAAATCGGTATTAGTCCGGACAAGTACAAGCAGACATACACATACATACGTACATGCACACCGCTATATAAGTGCAATAATCTTGAACGCGACGTGAAACTCCACTTCACCTCATCTCATCACTTAAGAGCAACTGCGTCTGTTACATTTTATTTTTAGGTGTAACATGCCTCAAATATCGATTGGTCTCAGAGTTCAAATTTCAAACCCTTGTATCGATTTCTTATCAGGCAATAATAATAAGAGTCATCATAATGCTAATAGTATGGAGTGGCTCGATCATTTTATTACCGTCATGACCCGTGAAGATTCCGGGGTAGAATAGGTCTTCAGCAACCCATGCTTGCCGTAAAAGGTGACTATGCTTGTCGTAAAAGGCGACTAACGGGATCGGGTGGTCAGGCTCGCTGACTTGGTTGATGCATGTCATCGATCCCAATTGCGTGGATCGATGCCCATGATATTAATCACTGGATTGTCTGGTCCAGACTCGATTATTTACAGACCGCCGTCATATAGCTGGAATATTGCTGAGTTCGGCGTTAAACAACAAACCAACAAACTATTACCGTCTTCGCCATGCTTGTTGCTGTAGAAATCGCTTGGTTGGCCTGAAAAGTGAAACAGATATAAGAACTTCTGTTTGCTGCTCAGGACCAGTCACTACCCACTCGAAACCGTCAATGTTAGATTTTGCATCAATATGTAAATATGAAATGACCAAAACCCCTTTGCTGCATTTTGTATTCTAATCTCTACATAAAAATATTATGTAATGAATTAATGAGACTGTCCAACACATTGTCAGTGGATGCCCAGCTTTGACACAAACACAGTATCTTAAGCGACATGATGGTGTGGCTCGATCATTTTATTACCGTCTTAGCCATGCTTGTGGTTTTGACGACACAGAGGTCCATCCATGGTACGACCCGGAATATGTAGAGGGCGTCATGGAAAATGATGAATACAAAATCCTTATGAATAGGCCCGTATACAGCCTCAGACGTATCCAGGCCAACAAACCTGATATTGTCCTTTTTTTTTATAAATCCAATGAAATCATATATATTATTGAACTTTCTGTCCCTTTTGACACCATGTGATTTGACATGATCAGGAAAAACATAGCAGATCTCACGTTCGAAATGTCACTCTTGCATCCTAAGTACCAAGTTGTTCTCGGTGTCTTAGGTTTGGTACCTCCCAATCTGTTGACTGACATTGGGAGAGTACCCGGGTTTGCTACCAGGAATACAGCCCTTCTGACAATCTAGGTAATGCAGAAGGCTGCAGTATTGGGGAGTCTTCACATTCTCCGAAAAGTTCTAGGTGGGCTTGACTAGGCAGCGTTTCCAAGGACAAGTGCGTGTAGAGGGGGCAAGGGCCCTGAGCTGATGATGAGCCTAACCAGCCTGACTCTGCCAGGGTCACCCAAACCCGCTTTGCTGCATTTTCTATTTTAATCTGTAAATAATACTAATAATGCTCCTAATAATAATAAACACGCAATTGGTGTATCACGATACAGACACCCACGTCAATGGCTACACATGAAATTCTGTTATGTCCTTGAATGGATGTTGAATGTTCTGTCAGTGACTGTTAATATTTGGATTTCCATGTTTCAGAGGACTATGATGTTAGTTCAGATTTGGGTGTTAGGTCTCCACCTACACCTTGCACTCTCCATCAGCGAAGACGTTGACATGCCAGGAGATGTGGTGTTAGGAGGGCTCCTTGAAGTACAACACTATGTGGATGGATCTTGCACTGATCTGCTTTCCGAGTCTGTTCAGATCAACGAGGCAGTGAGGTGGTTCTTCAGACAACTGAATGACAGGAACTACATTCCCAATGTCAAACTAGGTACGACATGAACAGAAGTGTTTTTGCAGATGCTATCGGGTATAAGCCCCTTAACCGGGGTCTCACTGACAGGGTATGGAATTGACAACCGTTTTGGGACCACCTAGTACAGGACACAACTGTAAAGTGATTCATGTGTGCATGTCCTTAAACTGTTGCATTCGTTTCAATTAATTTCATTTCCGTTTTCTGGCGAACGAATACAAATAATACACATCATGGGTAGTATCAGTTGCCTCAGTCGCAATATTTCATTAAATGGCCTGTGAACCTTTATTAAGCTTTCAGCAGCTTTCAATGGGATGAACAGCAATCCACTCCTAATATGTACACTTATATACATGTGCCTATGAGTTTATCGACATTCTACATTCAGCAATCAACTGCTTATACAATACGTATTAGTTTGTTTTAAATGCATAATCATTGCTGAAGGACATCAAATACTACTCGTATTTTCAATGTTTGGTTTATGTACATGTATATGCGTTCTATGCAACATATGAACTGGTGGATTGATAAGGCCACACTTTAAATTGAGGGTATACCTCTTTCTATTTACCATGGCTTGGGTTTGTGGAAATAAAGATATAATTTATTTGTAAAGATTTTAAAAATTAAAATTGGCGTGAAGTTCTTCTGATCTCTCGGTATAGGCATGCAGGATTTATGAGCTTTACAGTAACTCATATATTTTAACACATTATATTTTAGCTTTGGAGTTTTGTTTTTTAATGCCGCAAACGTGTAGACGTCGGGCAAACATGAAGGCAAGTTTCTGATCTGGCTTATTGCTCTGGTCAGCCGAAATTCGTAAATTGTATGAGTGAGTGAGTATGGTTTTACGCCGCTTTTAGCAATATTCCAGCAATATCACGGCGGGGGACACCAGAAATGGGCTTCACACATTGTACCCATGTCGGGAATCGAACCCGGATCTTCGGCGTGACGAGCGAACGCTTTAACCACTAGGCTACCCGACCGCCCCGTAAATTGTATGAAGGTGTTGCCTAATTATAAGGTAACTTATCCGAGAGGAAGGGAATCAAGTATTGTACTAAGTGTGTGAACAGCTATTAAATGTTTTTATTTGTAACACTGATAACTGTTTCCTTATCAGCTATGGTTACAAATATTTCAAAAACGATTTTTATAAATCACGGGTGATGTCGGCGAGTTCAAATTGAATATAATTTCTATATTTGGTATTGCAAAATGAAAGTGCAACGAATGAAACATAATAGCTCTTTTCAATGTTTCGCCGTGCGACAGATTTGAGCAATTTGTATGTAATGCTTAGCAGGAAGCAGGAAAAGATTGCTTGTGCACTGAACATTTTATCTTTCCAATGATGTGCACTGAACATTTTATCTTTCCAATGTTGTGCACCTGATGAGGGACCGACCGATGAGGGCCAACGCGTCGATTTAAATACTGTGTACCAAAGTAAGACATATTATCATTTGTCAATGCACGAGGGTGGGCTTGTTAAGCCTGATCTTAAGAAACATAAGTTCATGCGTTGCTGTCATTAGCTATCATACATCTTTTACAGCGTGACACATTTTTGACCATTTCAGGTTTCCATGCTTTCAAAACATGTGGCAACGCCGCACGAGCTACAGGTCAAACCATAGATATGATGACCAAATACGTTAACGGTCAAGGGCCTCAGCTCTTTGGTAAGTTAATAAGCTGTCTTCTGAGTAAAGCGCAATAAACTCGTCCTCAAGTATGTAATACATTGTTATACCGTTGGGCCTTGTGAATTGTGGCATTGTACATGTGCTTTCCATTTTGCCATATCATAGGAATACTGGGACCAGATTACAGCTCGGAAACCCAGTCCGTGTCTCGTCTGCTGAGCTCGCTCCCGGAGGAAGACCGTCTGTTGCAGATCAGCTACTCCGCCACCGCCGCCATCCTCGCTGACAAGAGTATTTACAAAAATCTGTACCGGGTCATAGAAACGGATGATGTACAAGTAGAGGTGAGAGGTATAACATGGTTGACGACTACATGAGCGTGGGAGTGAGTGAGTGAGGATGTGTGGCTGGGTGGGAGAGTTGGGGCAGCGAGCGAGCGAGCGTCAACGCTTCTTTGAACAATATTCCAGTTATATCACAGCGAGTCAGCTTAATGTTGGAGAAAAGCCCTGAATGATCTCAGCCCTGGCGTTCACCATATTGGTGAAACCCACGAGCACGGGTATTATATATGAGGATAACGTAATGCATGTAAAGGGATGGCGTATGAGTAAAATTTGTACACAATGACAAAAGCATACAATAGAGAAACAGGGTAAGTTTATTCTGAAATTTACATCTGATGATGGAGCCAAGTCCACTACAGCTTGTGGTTACTAGTTTTCCCAAACTACAGGAGAAGGTACTGAATGTTTTCTAAAGTTGAAGGAATAGTTTCATTCATTTTAGCTCCAAGATTCAAGACAATTGTTTGCATCGACCTTGTTGAGGGTAGTTGACACTTACTTATAACTTAATGTTTTAGTTACCATTATTGCTAGTTACGAATACTTACAGGTGTTACAACTTTTCATTATAGATGCATAAACATTTGCATGAGATCTCTCCAATTGCATGGTTGATGAACTAAGCATTAGACTTGATGTATGTATTACTTATCAAACTGTTTGTTGGCTTTGAAGCTACCATGTATGTTTACTGTCGGTGCCAAAATTAATAGCGGTATATCAAGAATGTAAAATTGTTCTTGGGGGCAAAGTGGAATGTTTGCCCAATTCAACCACAGCTATTATTCAATCTCTCAGAAATAGCCTAGCCAGTTAGCCAGGGGTATTATTCATTACTATGCATTATGTACATCAAAGACAGTCAGGCAATGCTTACAGGTGGTTAAAATCCCAATGACGTAAGAGGCATGATCAGCGGTTCTTGAAACATGTTCCAAATAATGAAAATTATATAAAGTCTCTTTTCTGATCGTATACGTTCACTAATATCGCATGTACTCCAACTCATAACGTGAATGCAGTTTAATACTCTGGAATGTCGCTTTATAGTATAATAGTTAGAATATAATCAGGATTTGAGTGTTGTCGACCTGTTGAGTAACTACTGTTATGTTATCCCATAGGTCACCCTGAAGCTCATGCAAGCTCTGAACTGGAACTATGTTGCCATCGTGTTCGACTCTGATACCTACGGCCGGGATGCTGCCTATGCCCTCAGAGCATCTGCAGAGGCGGATGATATCTGCATTCCTGTGTTCTTCCCTTTAGAACTGGGTCAAACTGACACACAGCAAAAGACTGCATTCAGTCAACTAATCCACCGTCTTCAGGTCGATGAAGAAAGTACTATCTTAGGGTTGGTCTTTTTTGGTCGAAGTAAAACAGCGAACAACTTGTTTCTTTACATTGAAGGAAATTTGGATCTCACAAATTTTCAAATGATTGTTTCAGAGTCCTTAGCTCTTGACCAGATAAATGTGCAAGATGCAAAGGGTGACACTATCATCCCCAGAACTCACGGACTCTTAACCCCGAGTCCACCCCATTACGATGTGGCGCTGTTCAGTCAGTTCTGGGCTGACTTACACACAAATGCCACACTGATGACGAATCACACAACAGATAATGATTGGTACCTTGGGTACCTGCATAAAATTACTGGATGCCACTTTACCGAGCAAATGGACAATGCTACCTCCTGTCTTAATAAGGCTAGCGAATATATTAACAGACATGAGAAACTGACGTTGTATACTCACTATGCTTTACGTGGCGCAGCAGCATTTGCCAAAACAATGAAACAACTACACGCAGAAGAATGTGGTGCAAACACTGGACTTTGCGATCAGATGAGGAGTCTGCCGAAAATACGAGCAATTTTAGAGATGACTCAAACTGTTATCAGTACCAGCGTGGACTTTCAGCAAGAACTGGTTAATGTTAATATTACCTTTAGCTTTGAAAAAGGCGAGATTCGTTTTTCAAACAAAGAAGCACCTGCATATGCTGTCTATAACTGGAAGTTTAATGGCAGCCCATTTGGATTTTACAAGGTATGCCATCTACATCCAACACCTTTTTTCTATATACTAGTATTTATTTGACTACTTAATAATTATTATTTTTTTACATGCATTAATACACAACTGTAACATTTGAAACAAAGATACTTTACATTGTGATACTTTCTTAATTCTCTAGAAATTACTCTGTAACAAAAACTGGAGTTCTCGTACTCAAGAATGTGTCTGTTTCATTTGTATGTAATACTATAACATCTCGCGTTGAGAGAGAGATGTTATTTGAACAACTTATGTACATTATAGTCTCATATCCCGATTTTCTATCAGGCCTTATATTGATAATAATAATGATCATCAACACCATTTAAATATCCAACAACTTAACTATTTAACTAATGGTGTGTTTACTCCTGTTTTTGTAGGTGGGAGAGTTCAGAGATGAACAGTTACATATAACAGACACAATCGTGGCATACAACAAAGCTCACAAAGAAACAGTCGCTGTTCATGCACAATGTCAGCCAGACATGGATTGTAAAAAGTGCTTAAAGGCAAACGGGGATAGGAAGGTCTTATACATTCCCGGCGATTTCTACATCATTGGTATGGCACCAATACACAACAAGGAAGGGAACTTCCTGAAGTGTGGGAGTCTGCGGTCTGAGTCTCTAAGTGTAGACCTGACAATAGCAATGCAATTCGCTGTATCTACCTTGAACAACAAGTCGGGTATACTTGGTGCAACACTTGGAAACAGGACAATGGGCCTTGTAGTACTAGACACATGCTCCAATCCCTACAAGATACAAGAGCAAATCACCAGCTTGAATGATGGAAGCTTACGTCTTCGCCATGGTTCTAACAGTTCAAAGATTTTGGACAAGATAATCGCTTATATTGGTCCTGCGTTTAGCTTCGTAGCTGTACCTCTTTCAACATTATTGACTGACATTCAGAAGTTGCAGATCTCCTACTCTGCCACAGCCTCCAGCTTGAGCAACAGACATAATCATCCGTATTTTATGAGAGTTAGTTCACCAGATCACAAGCAAGCTGAAGTTATCATGCAGCTTGCCAAAACGACTTCCTCGAAATACATACAGATTATCTTCTCAAATGAGGAATATGGAATAGCTGGGAAAGAGGTTCTTCTTGATGCTGCACGGAAGCACGAGATATGCGTGGCACAGTCCATTGAAGCACAGAACACGGTTGATCCTACTAAACATACAGGCTACATATCTGGTCTCAGAGTTTACAGGTATGCCAAAGTTGTCATTGTGTTTGCCTTGCCGTCACTTACACGTTTGATAATGGAGAATTTGGATAAACATTTGGAAAGTGGAGAATTTGCCTTTATTGGCGGAGAGAGTTGGGCTCAAATGGAAGCACTTTTAACTTCTAACTTACAAGGTTCTTTAACAATAGCTCAAAAGCTTCCTGAGATTACAGCTTTTGCTGAATACTTTAGAGATATAGACGTCCAAACCTATCCAAACCCATGGCTGGAGGAGTACTTTGAAGAAATTAATCAGTGCTATTTACCTAAAAGTTTTCAAAAGAAAAACCGACAAAAATGCCCATCAACATGGATTGGTGACCGTATCCAGCCTGATCTGTGGACAACATTTGGAATCTACACCATATACAGTCTTGTCCGTGGGTTCGACGACGCTGTGACATCAATCTGTGGGGATGTTGTGATCTGTCCAGGTATATCCGCGGCAGCCATGATTAAGAAACTGAAAGAAGTGAAACTTGATATGTACCAGAATGGTGAAAACATCAACGTCTTTGATGACAACGGTGACGGAAACGTGGGTTACACTATTTCCCAGATTGTCAGGAAAGGAAGCCTCAAGTATGAAGAGGTAGGTAAGGTCATGTGAACCTTAAAAATGCTTAGGTAATAGAATATGAAATATATCTAGTATCTCCTTTTCATGGGAGTTCCTATTCTGTTGACCACCTATGTGGTCTAGTGGTTGTGCGTCTGCCCGGAGGGCGGAAGGTTCGGGGTTCGATCCTTGGACGCGTCAAACCAAACGACGTTTGTCTCCTCAGAGGGATAGTGACAAGCTGTGCCCGGGAAATTGGTTCCCCTGTTGCGCCTCAATTTGCGTCCCTTCAAGATGTCATTACTTTTTAGATAAAAAAATCCGCGAGATAAAATTATTACAGCTGTATGTGTTAATCAATTCTACAGTACTGGTGATATTTTTTAACTGTAGGGGACAAACACATAACGAATTAAATATGTTTGTCATTACAAGGTTGGTTATTCATCACAGAAGAGAATTGTATTATCAAGACCTGTACAAGAACTGATGGCACGTTTGAACTTCACTTCGGCTTGTCCAAACGTCGATGAATGTGGAAAGTGCGAGAGGCAATTTAAAAGCGGAAGAATGTGAGTTAAAACATTTAATTAACACTGAACAAGAGAACACTGCGTAAGAGAATATTCTTGGATATCTCATTAAAAGTAAACGAGTTGAAATATTGAAAACACAATTGTAATCAGCGAAGAAGAAGTTTGTTGCACCAAGTGTCAACTCTCATGCTTGTTATGTACATGCGTAGAACAACCGGTAAACTATGTGTATTTATTATGTTTAAGTAATCAAGCGAATCCCGACGGTATTATCATCTTCTACTCCCTTGTGGCTGGCGCAAGTGTGCTTGGGTTGATCGTCCTGGTGATGTCCGGATGTCTCTGCTGCCGATGTCGAAGGGTGAAGAAGACGAAGAAGAAAGAAGGTGAGGATGAAGGGTTAGATAACCCCAGTTTGTAGTGTATATATTTCGCTTGACCATTTGGTGAAAACTGAAACCTCCTGCATGTATACACTATCAATATGCGCAGGTGTATGTACACTACGTTCATCCATCAATCGTGAATACCTACGGTTGGTATGCGGTTCAGTGACGCGTGTCTATCATTTGCCGATTATGAAACGCAGTCAGGCATCACTGACTCACTACTCCAGGCACTAACCTTGTCCATACCGTTGCCAGGTACTGAAGCAATGTGTTGAGTAGATGGCCGCATGTCATTTGAGCACTCATTTGTTTGAGCACCTGCTGGCTTCCCTCAATATTGAACCAGGCCGTAGCTTGGTTCGTTGCTTACAAATAGCGACAACGTTGAAGAGCGGGCGTATGTATTCACGGTTGATGGGGTAACGTCGTGTGAGTGTGTCATACTCTTGACTTTTTCCATCTGAATGCAGTAAGAAGCAAATGATAAGGACTTCATATTATCTTTTTCTGGGGTTTTATCCTAATGCATATAATTAAAAGGCCAGAGAAATCCAGAGTTTTACCATTTCTGTTTTTACTGAACGAGCCATTGCTCTAACAACTATGCTACCTCACCCCCTCTTTACAATTTGGAGTATGACCCTCTATGAACATGCCAACTTCACAATAGCCCTTTACAAATATATGTATAAGGCCATGTCTAGTTTACTGCTTATCTACTGGATACCACTTAGTAAGGATAAGAATTTATGGATGAACAACTTCTTTATTACTATATTATTTGTTCATCCATAAATTCTTATCCTTACTTAGTACTCCAACTTCTAAATGCCTATGACTTCTAAAAGTTATGGATACCACTTTCCTTTTACCCGAATTCTTCTTGCAATTCACAAATTCATATTGTCTGATCATTGCTAAAATTAAATCACCAATGATTCGTATTCACAGAGGATCTGATACAGATCTAATTATTTGATTCGTGGAAGTAAAACACCTCCATGGCACTGATATAGGTTAATGTTTTATATTTCTCATCTCCATTTCAGATCCCTATTCAACAATTTGTCCGAGGGATAGTTTCATTCAGTGAAACACATATCAACATTGCCCAGCGCACCTTTGTAGATATTTCTTTAAATAATCACATCATGTATTATTTATTATATACTTAACTGTGAAAGACTGAGTTTTCGGAAGTTGAGAAAAATATTTTCATTGCAGTGGACATAACAATTAATATTTCACTGCTATGAACATTATACTTTGACGGAACTATTGTCGTACAAGAGTGACCTCCCCTCATATTGTCTCCCCTTATGTTTGGCCCGTTCACAAACTCTTAACTTACTTTTTATGTTAGTTCCACATTGACAGGGCAGAATAATGACAGATGGCCATTTATGGAGTTAATAACGTTTCATGTCCTGTGTTATTCTCTTGAAAATTTTCCGTTATAAACTGTAAATTTCTCACTTAACTCGTCAATTGAGACCGTTCGTTTTGCAAAGCGCCATTTTTATTACTTGACCAGCGTGTATTCTTTCGCTTCCAACAGCGGTCTCGAAGTTTTCAAGAATATTTTTTTGTTTAAATTTTTGGATATTATCATATCTACATGTATGATGCAGAATTTTCGCGACCATAAATATTTTGTGTTACTTTTGTTTATATTTTTATGATTTTGCAAACACAAAACTACTTTTAAGTCGAAAATACAAGGGGTGGTGACCCGTCACTGTGTGTTAAGTAGGACAAATTCACGTTTCAATGTTTTACATTTGTAATGAAATAATTTATTTTTCCGGTAGACAACAACACAAAAATAATAATAAATAGGTTATTCCATGTGTCTCGTGAAATAATATCTATGTATCAGAGATGATCAGAATCTAATCTTTTAGTCACACTCATTCATTACAATTTCAAGCAAAAGAGATGCAATATATGAGATGTCTTTCAATAGACGTACAGTTACAGTGATAACTGATAACATTGTTTGCGTACGAAGTGTTCTTGTACTTTTAAGCTGCACTACCTATATTCTTAATTATTACTTTCAGTCTGTTATTGTTCATATGAATACTTTGTGCACTTTATTTTATACATATAATATACACTGATGTCTTTTCATAACAACTTGGTAATAAATTTAAAACCTCACTCACAAAAAGACACGTTAGTTTAAAATTGAATCTAAATTAGGTAGATATCGGTTGCAGTTTTATTTCCGGGCAAGGATATAGCAACTATGAAACGGTATTTGAGAATTCGAGAATACGGAACGGTTAGTTTTCCAAACACTGTTTCAAGAAGTAAGTGTATAACCTGAATTAAAGATTAGTGTTTACAATATTTTGAATTGCTAATTAGAAACACCATTTTAAACCAAACTGTCGTATTCTCTCTTGATTGTTGATTTTGTAGACGCTCAGACTAGACTGTTACTAGATTATTTAACTGAGTAATATTGATATTGTGTGCTCTTTTCATTACTTGAGATGTATGTATTAGTCTGCTTACCTTTCCTTTATAAGATGTATGTTATTTATAATTTCTTTTGCATTTTGTATTTTTGTATTTCCCAATAAATGTAAAAAAAGCCAGAGATGGACTACTTTCACCACGATGGACTGTCAGAGAATCCCAATGTAGTGCAAGTTGAGGGAATTTCCATGTCACTTTCTCCCGGGGCCCACTTGCATAAAAAACACTATATATTGCTACATTAGGCTTCGTCTACAGTCGCTATCCACATGCACAAAGTAATTGTTGGGTAAGATCATTGTAAGCTACATTTGCAATTGATCGGGACCAACAAAGAGTAGATCCTGAGCATAATTGACAAGAAAGAGTGCATGAGAGGGTCTATTAAGGAAATAATCTGCTTCACGTTCAAACATTGACATTCATTTGTTCAACTGTGCGATTCAAATCGAAAATACGAAGAGACCATCACATATTTCACGCCAGAAGTGTTGTTAATAACGATCCACATAAATATCTATGGATCGTGTAAAACTATAGCATTTCATTATCAGTTACTTCAGTGTATAAGACTAAGTTTTCTGTTGAGAAAGTTGAGAAAAATAATATTTTCATTGTAGTGAACATAACGCTTTGACGGAACTGTTGTGTTATACGAGTTACTTCCCCGCAAATTGTCCCCACTTTATCGTATGTGTCTTACCCGTATACAAGCTGTTGATTTCCCTTTAACGTTAGTTCCACATTGAACATCTCGTAGATGTCAAGATTTTTGTTGAAGTTGATTTTGTATATATTTATAATCATATCCAAATATATGATAAAATGTTTTATCGGCCTCACATATTTTTTGTTTCTTTTGTTTATATTTGTTAAGACATTGCAAACACAGAACTACTTATTAAGTCGCAATTACAAGGGGATGTAAAACGGCTCCGCATGTCAGGAAGGGAGAATTCACACTTCAAGGTTTTACATTTTGGTAATGCAATGATTTAATTTTCCGGTAGGCAACTACACTAAATGTATATAATAAATACTCTCCACTCGTGGAAATATCTCCTTTACCCCGTCACTCCTCGATGAGGGAAACATGATATTTCACTCGACACATCGAATAACCTCTACATGTATATCTGAATCCATGCTAAAAGACGTGTGGGGCCTTTACATGAAATGCGATAAAGATAAACACTGAAGGTGCCTGCAAGATATAGTAACATTTAGTAAAGTGACCTTTTTTACAGGACTGGTAATCTTCATATGCTGGTGGGACATATTTCTCTTTGTATATCTGCCAGTTCTTAGTGTAACTCATTGGAAAACATCTCATTTTTGCATTAAAAAGGTTAGGTTTGGATGGTGTACACACATACAGTTAATAATGAGTGCAGGGTGATATTCACTGCATCCATCAACGTCAAGCATAGACATTAATATGGTCATTACAAATATGTGTGCAAGTGAACACAATAACAGGTATAAAATCATAACCATCAGCCATTCACATAATAGGTTGGTAGGATATTCTAGTCTGCAGATCGAGTTCGGTTTATGGTTAACGCCTGTGTATCAATTCGGTACATTCGTAATTGAAGACACATTTAAAGATGAACATAGTTCGTGATGATCGGGGACAGAACACATGCTTATGTATGACAATCACCCGCCATTCTGTCTAGTGAAACCATGATTCTACAACAGATGAAAGTCCCGCCGTAATCACGTCCTTGGGGTTTAACTTCGTGTTCAAACATTATTGCATTTTTATAGCGACGTGCATGCATATGTCTGAATGTGTATGAGTGTGTGTGTGTGTGTGTGTGTGTGTGTGTGTGTGTGTGTGTGTGTGTATGTAACTATGGGGTGGTTAGGCTCGCTGACTTGGTCGATGCATGTCATCGTATCCCAATTGCGTAGATCGATGCTCATGATGCCAATCACTGGATTGTCTGGTCCTGACTCGATTATTTACAGACCGCCGTCATATAGCTGGAATTTAACTGAGTACGGCGTTTAACAACAAACAAACAAACTTTATTATCACCATCGCAAACACGGACATTCGTACTCTCGTGCATTAGTCAAAGTAAAAAGAAATATCTTCTGAATCAATACTACTGGGAGTTTGTATGCACAGGTGTTTCAGAGGTTTTGTACATTCAATCTTTGCCAGTTGTGATGTGTCAAAGCTGACGATGCCATCAGGCCAGGCACCTTCTGCACCTACTTTACACTGTCCATTAACGGAGGAGACCAAATCTCACGCAGTTGATATCTGTCAACAGAGAACACTAGACAGATAAAATGAAAGTGTGTTGTGCCATGTGACGTTATTTCGTACTGACTTCATATCAAACAAGGTCTTCTCTTCCATCTTGATACACAAATATATTTATCCAATCATTTTATTGTTCTAAAACTATACTAGCCATATTAAGAAACTGTGCACGGAGAAAATATATTCTGGATTGAAATACAACACAGCAAGAACAAAATGATGCAGACGCTGTAGCAGCTGAATGATCGGACCATAAGAAAATGTCCACGGGACCTGAACAACATCTGTTACGATGACGTCAGAAGATCAAAATGGAGTAGGGGGTCAAACGACAAAGTCACAAAGTCAATAACGGGTATGACCACCCTGTGCGTGAATCACAGCAGTGCATCGGCGACGCATGGAGTCCACAAAATGGGCATGGAAGGCCTGGGGAATGACCTGCCATATCCTCCTCAAATCCTGTGCCAAGTCACGGACGTTATCTGGAAGATGTGGAAGACGACGCAGACGGCACTCCATTTCATCCCACACATGCTGGAGAATTTGCAGGCCATAACATGACATTGTTATGGTGAAGGAAATCCATTGCGACCCTAGCCGTGTGAGGACGAGCGTTGTCCTGTTGAAATGTCAATCCCGGGCCATGACATTGCAGGAAAGGAATGACCACAGGCCTCAGAATCTGATCTCTCTAGCCAACACCGGTGAGATTGCCCTGAACAACCACCAAAGGGGTTCGGTGCCGTGCTGTTATCCCACCCCAAATCATCACAGAGCGACCTCCAAAACGATTCCTCTCCACAATACAGTTGCGTGCATAACGTTCTCCCAAACGCCGGTAGACACGTTGGCGCCCGTCACTGTGGGAAATGTTGAACCTCAATTCATCTGTAAAGACAACATTTCTCTACCAAATTCGAGGTTGGCGAAAATGATTTCGACACCATCTTAGACGGTTGAGTCGATGACGGTGTGTCAGGATGGGAGGTATGGCAGGGCGTCGTGGTCGAATCCCGTACTGACGTAAACGATTCCTGACAGTGTTGGGATGGATACGGTGCAGTCCAGGAGTTGTCTGGGACGTCGTTACTGCAGTTTGGAACCTGTGTCGGAGATGTGTAACTCGAATCCATCTGTCCTGTCTTGGCGTCGTTACTCGGGGACGTCCTGAACGTGGGTGGTCGGCAACGTCATTTGTGTTCTTATAACGCCTCACCAATGCCGATATCGTGTTACGATGGCATTGGAAATGTGTTGCCACCTGTTGTTGCCTCATTCCCGCTCGGATCATTACAATGGCTTCGTGACGCTGCGCAGCTGTCAATCTTGGCATGATTTGCTTGTGATATGCTTGTGTCTGCGCCTGAGAAGTTTTGAATTTTTGAATGACCACAGATCATGCTTTCCAAAGTGACAGCGAATTTTGAGTTGCACAAGCTGTGTACAGCTGCACAGGATGCACGTGCAGTAACACATTGCACGTCCATAGGCCCCGATCAATGACGTCATATCGCATGGCACGTGCATGAGCGTTTGAATGTCTCCAATAATTGCTGTGTTCAAACCTATATTTCATATATGGACGGTGTGCCCTTATATCTATATTTTCTCCGTGCACAGTTTCTTTATGTGGCTAGTATAGTTTTAAAGTTATAATCTGTGATATATTGCTAGTTGTTGTACTGTCCTTTGACAACAGTTTTTTTTATATATGTAGTAACTTGTTCCAAGTCACGATATGGCTGAAATACTGCCGATGTGACTTAAAATATTAACTCACTCACTCACTCACAAATAGATTTCCTTTCTCAGTTGATGTGAACTGTAAGAAAGTGTCAAATTTTTGTTGCAGCCTACATTTTAGGTGGTTTTTTGTTGTTGTTGATGGTCTGAGATATGCCTTCCCCTAACTTTGGCGTACAGTTTGTAACATGACATACGGTACCAAACTCCTGGTATTAACCAGGGGCCATAGTCTCTCATCCTGCTTTTTGATTTCATGTTTCCTGATGGTGATGTCCGCTTGTAGTTCAAGGCACTCTGAAAATGCTTCTCATGTGTTTGATCCCTTGAGGTATTTAGTTAAAGTTCAAGGAGGAAGAATATTCTATACTTTATCAAGGGCTGTATTTGCAGACTTCTCTTTTTCACGTTTGGTCGTTCTGTGAGCACGTTCTACTGTGGGGTCAACTTGCGCTTCTAGTCTCTCCAAATCTTCCTTATTGTGAAAAGGTGTCTGCACTTTCTGTGGTAGTACAGCTTTGGAAGAGTACCCTCAGGTAAACCTTCCGCTAACTGTAGGATTCCATTTTGGTTCTATATTTTTGCTGCCCTCGGGGGACTTTTCCAAGATTCCAAGCCCCTGGGTGTTTTTAGGTTTGTTGAAGAATCCTCAGATCCTGAATGGATCATGCAGCATGGCGACTCACTTCTGGTGGCATTGTTTCACCTGCAAAATACAGATATTCACCAACAAATGAATATTTCTCACCGTATTTATGAACATAAACATGCCAATATCTATCATATTACAGCCGTTTTGTATTTTATTTGTAAATAATGTAAATTCAGTATTTATATTACAGCAGTTACATTATATTTCAGAGCTATTTTTGTATTTATTTCTAAATAATGAAAATTCATTATTAAATACATTTCTAAGAATAACATTTAATCAAGTTTGTAATCTAAGTAATAACACTGAATGTCTAACCGCATTTCAACACAAATATTTAACTTTCAGTTTAATATGCAGTGAGTTAAAAATATCAATTTTTGAATATTCTGAGGCTAAAAACTGTGGCTCTTTCAAAAGTGAATGTATAAAAAACAAGTTTCAATAGTTGATACTTTTAATTTGCTTTGACTATTTTTTTGGTTTAAAAACACAACACAAAGCACATGAGACAAATCTGTAATTGTCTTTCCCTTTTTCAACCATAAGAAATCATGGTAGAAGCATTTAGAGTGGAATTAAAATTGTACATAAACATAATAAAAATATACATTTAATATTTTGAACTTCATTTATGCTCTCAAATAGTTCATCACAAACTTTCAGAGATAATTCTCTCATGATAATACGAATTGAACAAAATTAGTCCAAACTTGCAGACCGGAGACTGACTTGGAGATGAAATTTCAAGAATATTAAAAAATCATCTATAAAATGTGATTTCATAAATCCATTACCAAATTATTTCCATTAAACAATTAATGGAATATCAAATCTACAAAACACTGAGATCTGCTGCGTTCAAAATTCACTCATCTTTCAGGTAATGTTGATGATGGCCATGGTTCATTGTGAAATAAGAGATTATAATATTGTTTGTTGACTAGACAAAAGAATGTTATTACTTTAAAAAATAATCTTATGAAAAACTGGCTTCAGAAGTCTAATCAAAACTTTCACTTTTGAGTAAAATGAACGTTTTAAATCATCAAATCAGTAGACATTTCTTATACGAGTTATGCATTTGTAATATTTTGACCAGAAAATAGTGTCTCAGAAAGTTCCAGTAGTTGCCTGTTTTATTTCTTTTTATGTCACT